ATAATGTTTCCAACAATTAGTAGTATCAAGGAAAGGTGATACAGGAAGTTAAAAATGTAACATGAAAAACATTTTAATTACCTTTATAATACTTCTTACAATTCACTATTAAATAATTATATATTGCATATAATTATATATCACGCACTACAATTACTTTCACAATATGGTGAAAAGATCCTGCATAGCGCTACATAACTAAACGCAAGTACTTTAATAGTGTTGTCACAAGCCAACATTCCTTTGTTTTATTAAGACTATTCTACACATAAAGTAATCCTTCCTCATTAGAGCAAGTGTTTGAAGAACCTGGTACAGTTACGGTAATTCAGTAAGTTGCATTTATCATGAGTCAAAACTATCTACTGGTAGTTGCAGGAACGGACTCAGCTGTGTATAGGATACTGATTAAGTCTACAGTCCTTTACATTTATCTGGAATCATTCCCACTGAATTCATTAGACTTTATTTTTGTTTAGTTATTTTACAATAGTGCAAGGTTGATAGCCTCCACCTTGCAACCCACATCCCACCTGCACCAGTGCAGAGAACAGCAAAGCAAAGCTAAACCCATACATCAATGCAGCATATCTGCACAAAGAGCTCAGATAGAGCCTAAATGAACATATAATGAGTTTACACTATTGCACAGTGGTACCCATCTCATATGAGCATAGGATTAGCTGAATCAACCCCTTTGATGAGTGGGCATCTTTATCATCATCAGCCAGCTCCTAAATCTTTCTTCTCTCCCTTCATCTGGAGAAAAGAGCCTGGGACCTGGACTATAGCATGAGGAGCTGGATACCAGAAGACACTTCCATAAACACCTGTCTATATTATGCCTTTTTCTGGATTTTTGGTAAACTGAAATCTTGACTAAAAGACTGATAAGCAATATTTTTGTACTTCAGTGGTTTAGCTGCATGTACCTTTTGTTTATAATTATTGTACTTTCTCTTATTATCATGTTTGGATAAGAAGGGTGGGTGTGGTATTTTACTCTTTCAAGTATGCTAGTTCATGTTTTACTTCCCGAGTTGTACATCTTTTAATCTTAAAAATAGTTGCAGAGCTTTCTATAGAACTAAGACTGCTCTAGAATGAATGGTTGTGGATTCCAAATAAATGCTATGTTGCCGAAAGTAAACAGAGCTGTTTTCAGTCACCAGCAACAGAGGTCTGTTTAAGGTGCTAAAAAACCCAACAGAACCCAACCAGCAATATCTCCAGAGTACGTAAAGCCAACGTACCATAATAATGAAATACAAAAGAAACATTCTGTGGGTACATCTAGCTGAGGTATTCTGACGGCAGTGGTTGTCATCTTAGTATCAAAAAACATAACACACAAAGTACATAAAATATCTTTAATTAGAAGACATAAGTTGGTGTAAGAAATAGGTAAACTTTCAACCAGAGGCAAAAACAAAACTATGAAGAATTAGAATAGAGAAAAGAAAGTAAAAATACGGAAATATTGGGGGCCCAACATCACAGAAAGGCCTATTTATTCATTATACCATGATGGCAGATGCATTCCTTTACGTCATTTCCCACCCCAAGTTATTCAATTATGTCAGGGATAAGGGGCCCCTGGTGCTCTAAAAGTTGCAGGACATCAACTCCCATCAGCCAGCATGGCCAACAGTCCAGAACAATGGAAGTTGTAGTCATTCAACATCTGAGAGTCATAGGTTCCCCATCTGTTTATATATACTGTTTGTAAAGTAAGGAAACACTGACATCATTAGATGAAATAATGTAAATTATTAATATTTATTGAATTTATATACCGCCCTAAAGCCAGAGGTCTCAGGACAGTTCACAGAAAAGATCAACATAAAAGCCACAATATATATAATAATAATACCCCCCACAAAGAGTCACATTTTAAAAGGGCATAGGATGTCAATCAGATCAACCAAAGACCTGGTTAAAAAAGAACATTTTTGCCAGGCGCCTGAAGGTGTATAATGAAGGTGCCAGGCGAAGGTGCCATTCCACAAATACATTGTGAATATATATATCATGTTACATTTTTTCTAAGATATTTAGAACTCTTAATCTAATAACAGAAATGGGCATCCATAAGTATTAAGTGGATGAAAAAACTGTATAGGAATGAACACACTGAGGACCGAGAAAAAATACTCTATCTGAAACAGACTAGTTAATGCTGCTGCTGCTGCTAACATCTGGGATCTCCAAACAGGAACAGGATCATTGATGGCAAAGGACACTGTCTACTTGGTAGTTGTCAGATTAGGGAGATCCAAGTTTAAATTTTTACACAACAGTGAAACTCACTTGGTAACATTGTGCCAGTCACACATACAGTGGTACCTCTGGCTACGAACGGGATCCATTCTGGAGCCCCATTTGCAACATAGCAGAACGCAACCTGCGTCTGTGCGTGTTGGAATTCACCGCTTCTGCGCATGATGTCATTTTGAGCATCTGCGTGAGTGGCAAAACCCGGAAGTAACCCTTTCCGGTACTTCCGGGTTGCCGCGGGACACAAGCTGAAAACGCTCAACCTGAAGCAAACGCAACACGAGGTATGACTGTACTAACCTACCCCACCCCACAAGGTTGGAGACCTTTGTGGACACCCCTAAGCTCTTTGTGGGAAAGCATATAAAATGCAAAATAAATGAACATACATAATTTTTTTAAGCTAATGGCCCTAGCTTGGATCCAGACCAAGTTAGCTGAATTTCATTCCTATTGAAATAAATGGGATTTTAGTTATGACTGAAATCACTTCTGAATGATGTGTTCATGGTCATGTGTGAAATTTAAATGTCCTCATAATGTGAAGAACTAGATCTTGTATTTCAGAATGGCAGCATCATTCAGGGTGGGGGATCCCAAAATGATCTCATCCCACCTAAAGATTATATATATTTTGGAGAAGGCAAAATAACACAAAAAAATTAAATAGAAGCAAGGATTATAATAATACAAAATTTGAGATGGGGTGCAGCCAATGGCATTTGGTAAAAATGGCATTTGGCTAATAGTTTTCCTATTGAGTAAGCATTAAAATGATCTACTAGCAACTGTTCCCTTTCTAATGATGATAAAATGAGATGGAATCAATGATAGTTTTTCATTTCCGTTCTTTTCTGTCTGAAGAGCATGTCTTATCTAATCTAGTACAATGGTTGTATCAAGCAGACCACCCAAGGCCTGATTCGTGCATTACACTTTTGAAGGTGTTTGTTGATGTGAGAATTGCATACACATCTATATACAGTGGTGCCTCGCAAGACGAAATTAATTCGTTCTGCGAGTTTTTTCGTCTTGCGAGTTTTTTCGTCTTGCGAAGCACGGTTTCAATTTTTTCAAAAAATCTTCAAAAACCTCAAAAAAGGCTACCACACCGCGTGCTATGAGTTGCTCCCCGAAGTCAAGTCGCAACTGCACCTCTTCAAGCAATGCACCCTGTATTACTGTAACGGTTTTAAGAAAAGGAAACAAACTTGCAAGACGTTTCCGTCTTGTGAAGCAAGCCCATAGGGAAATTCGTCTCGTGAAGCAACTCAAAAAACGAAAAACTCTTTCGTCTTGCGAGTTTTTCGTCTTGAGAGGCATTTGTCTTGCGAGGTACCACTGTACTCACAACAAACCTTACTGAACTCATGCCCAGCCAAGCTAATATATAACCAAATATGTGTACTCACTTACAGGTTCGTGTGCATGGGAATCTTAGAATGAGAGTCATATATTGTTTTCCACATGACCCCTTCACACATCTGTTCTGTCAGAAATGGGAACACAGAAAAACCACAAAACTGGAATAGTACCACTGCCAAGCAGAAAAAAGTAGGGGTAGAATTCTAGCTGCTCAAATTGTTGTTTATTATAAGTGAATTGCATTTGGGAAATTCCTCCTTCGGGGCAGATTTTTAACAACAATTCTCGCATCTAATGTATACTGCAGCAACTCCTGCTCCTACTAAATTATCACTCACTTCCTCATAGGCCTTTTCCCTTAAAAGGATGACATGGAATTCCCTATGGTAGTTACATCCCACCAAACCACTACATTCCCAAATCTGTGAGCCCATGAAATGACCACCTTTAGATAAAAGACCTGATGCATGATGCAACTCATATCTGAACATAAAGAGATACATGAAGTTCTAGCTAGATTCAAAATGAGAGTCCTAAGTGTCAGGAAAAAGAAATTAATTGTAAACCAAGGTCTTGACCACAATGCGCATGTCCCACTGGCTTTAAGTATGATTACTGAAAAGTGAGGACTAAATTTATAGGATCCAAATGGTGTACTGCACATATAAACGAAGTGGCCTTAAGCATCATTTTACACCTGAACCATTGTGTTTTATTTATAACTTGCACACACAGTGCACAACTCCTTTAGAAGTTTCAACGTGACTACCATGAGGTGTCAGAAGTTTCCCAAGCAGACACATCAGGTCCACACCAACTTTAGAGTAGCTTTAAAACAACTCCATTATGTTTATTTTGCAGAAACTACCCACTTGGGCACTTTGGGTATGAAGCAGAATGAACAAGTTTTAAAACGAACGAAAAAAATAACTAATTGCTCCCACACAGTTTTTTTAACATACATGTCCAGTCTCTAACACAACGCACATTTAACTCAGTATTCAAGAAGTTTTACAGCAGTGCAAGTCAAATGGGCTCAGGGTGGTCTGCAGGATGAAAGTGGTGCACGCTGCAGCTATTACATGGATATGTTGAATACTGCTGGGTTCCACTCAATCCATTCGTATCTTGCTACCATGTGCCCTGGAGCGTTAGATTTTCGAGTTTCTTTTAAATTCGATATTGAGCAGACCTACACAGAACCTCTACACAGAAACTGCTGCGTGAGGTTGCTTTGTATTCATGGACGCTTTGATGCGAGAAGGCACTCGTAGGCAACGCCATCCTGACGGCATGGCATCAGCGAGCGAGCAAGGGGAAACACGCGAAAGGAGGACAGCCAGCCAGTGGCTATGTAGATGACGGCACGTCTCTTTTAAAAAGCCATGCCTGCTCTGCCGGGACTGACTCCACTTCTCATCCTCAAGGCTCCGCGCGCATTTCAAGAACCCATGCTCTCCTCGAGCATCCTCAAGTTTCCTTGGGCGGAATACTTAGCCCCCTGGGACAGCGGAGAGTAAGTACCACGGGGCTCGGTGGGAAGGCGGGGGTCGAACCCACAGCCCTGCCCCGGCACGAGGCGGCCGGATGCGTCCCGCTCCCCACCCCCGCTCCCCCTTCTCTCGCAGCCTCCCTGCTTTCCTCCGCGCACACTGAGCCCGACAGCTGTTCAGTCAGGAGGGAAGCAGCTCTGGGGCTCGGAGGGGCTGCTACTGAGGGGAGCCAGGCAGCCCCCCAGCGCCTCGCCTCGCCTGCCCTCCGAGGCCACCTCAGCCCGCTCGACTACCGCGAAACCCGCACGGCGAGGTGACGGGACGTGTCAGGAGACTGCGCAGCGCTGCCGGCACCAACCTAGCACATAGTCCAGAGAGGGGACCCCGCTGGAAAGCAGCAGCTGCCCGTGCCGGACCGAGGGCCGGGTGCCCGGCAGAACGGCCAAGCGGCCGCCTCCTCCTCCTCCATCCGGCCCTTTCCTTTGGAAACTCGTCGTTGCCCTGGCACTCTGCTGCTGTTGGGCCGGCCCGCCGGTCGCCAAGGCCGCCATCTTAGCTTCTGCGCCGTTGACAGGGAAGAGGCGACCGGCGCGGAGGAGGAGCGGCGGGGCGGGTGGAGGGGGGGACGGACGCGCGGCGAGCCAATGGGGAGGCCGGTTGTTGGCAGGCGCAGTGGCGTCGGCTGGGGGTAGGCGAGGAGGGCTCTCGGTCCCCGCGGCTTCTGGCCCAGGCAGGTGAGTCAAGGGCAGGAAGAGGCAGCTCGCGAGCCTGTCCGCAAGAGGTGTTGTTCGTAACGCTCCGTGAAGGAGGGGAGTGCCAGTCGGGCCTTTCTAGGCAACGGGGACGCTTCTGAGGAAGCTATTTTTAAAAAATAAATAAATAAATTTGGAAACGAGATACAGTATACTGTACGTCCCTCTTCCTGTTTAGGTGCAGGAAGTGGTGTGACCCTGGGGGAGTGGGGAAAAATATTTGCTACTACCTGTGACGAGCGGGCCGGAGCCCTCCTCACCTCATTCCACCCACCTGGCTCGTTATGAGAACTTAACTTTCTAAAGTGTTGGTGTTCTGTGCACACTTACACGAAAGTAACGCCCTCCCCTCCTCCAAGGCACCTTGGGGTTGACTGGAGAGTAAGCATGCATTGGATCGTGCCGCAGTGAAGTCGTTTATTCGAATTGTTTTCCGTGTGTGTTAGCTTACCAGCTAATGCTGGTGAGGCCAATTGGGAAGGTGAGTGGTTGGTGCCTGGCACAGTTAAGACTGTAATTCGGTGCAAGAGGTTTCTGAGGATTTCATTGTACATGACTCAGAAGGTTCTGGCTACACGGCGGAAAAGCCAGGTTAGCTCTCCAGGATTAATGCAGAGTAGCACTCTTAATCACTTGCTTGACCTTGGCTGTGGAGACCCATTGGAACTTGTACATGGATACCAATTTAAATCGCTTTATATGGCAGTGAAATTTTGTGTATACCTTTCTGTTGTGCATATTAGGTTCCCACTTCATATTTACCCCGCTGCAGGCCATGGAGATGGAAGGGTAGCAAAGGGTGGGATCCTGGTTCACAGGGTGGGTCAGTAGACCGTTACAATTTGCCTTGCAGAGCAATTTGAAGCATCCTCCATTTGCATTTTAACATATGCATTGCCTCTGAACTCTTGAACCTGGACTTGCCTTCAGCTATATATATCTTCTGTTGAGATCAGTGCACTAGTGAAAGTGCACAGGGACGGACAAGTATAGAGCGCTGGCAAAATGTTGAAAAATGTTTCATCCACAGATGTGACTACTTCAGAAGATTATTGGGTCTTTTCTCCCATCACCAGATTCTTTAAGAATACTTGTGTTAATGTCATATCTGGACCCAAAGATTGGTTTGTTTTTTATTCTATCTAGGCCAGTAAGAACTTTTGTCTCTTGCCATCACTATTTTCCTCAGTTTCCCTTCCTGAGAACATTACTTCAGGCACAGGGGTCTGCCCAACATCTTCCACACTGAAGTCAATGCAAAGAATCCCTTCAGTTTCAGTCTCCTTTTTCTCTTTTAGTATGCCCTTAATGTTTCAATAACACACTGTGCAAATTTTTGCATCCTTCAGTATCTGCTTTCATTTCTTTTGCCACAGTTCAGGTTCCTTTTTATTCTCATTTGGAAAAGACTTCTGTTTCCTGACATGAGCCTTATTGTCTCTAATATCTCCCGTGACACTGCTCATTAACCATGCTGGCATCCTCTTGGCTTTGGTGAGACCTTTCCTGATCTGTGGTGTACATTCTATCTGAGTTATAAATAATTTTTAAAAACCGTAAGCATCTATCTGCTAATGGGTATGGGCCAATACATTCCAAAGTCAGGTTGCAACTAGATGCAAGCAAGGTCATTTTAGGGGGTGAAACTTTTTTTTTGTAAATTTCTTTAGTGAGGGCCTTAAAAATATGTTATTGGGTGTGAGTTAAAATCTGCTATTAGTTTTTGAATGGACAAGATTTAGCTTGGTAAGTCTGCATTTAATGAAGAAGCACATAAACTTCTTTTGGAATTTTAGTTTTACCTTCTGAAAATATCAGATAATGCTAAATGATAATGATAATAATATTATATTAAAGATAACTGCAAGTACTTGGTAACCATTTTTTAACAATTTCTATGCAATTTTACGCACATTTTACTTACCAAGCAAAGCGAAATTATATTAATTTAACCAAAATATATTTTGAACTCCCAAGTCATGTTACAACTTATTAGCACCCATAATTTTTGAAATTTGAAAGTTACAAAATTTAACATACCCTAATGCTATAAGGTACTTTTTAGCACGATGAGACATTTTGTTTCTTTTTTCATATGGTGTAAATATTAAAATCTGTATTTGATTTTATAAAATTCTATGATTCTTATTTTCACAAAGCTATGCTAATTTGAATACTTTCATCATTGTTTCTCATACTGAAGGAGAGAAGAAGATGATTTAGTGTAGGGGGTAACACCTGCACTGTCGTCAGTTACATTGCTATTTTAAATAATCTTCTTAGCGGCACCTGTCCTTTATACACAAAACCCTCTTTTCTCATCAGTTCTGGAATGTAATAGTATTGGATTTTGTTGATTAAAGTTTTATAGTCACTAAATCAGATTAACTGTTGAGTCATCTGACAAGGAAAGCTACCAGCCATGAAAGCTCCCTGAAGTGTCTGTGCTGTGAGCTCAAGCTTCTTGAGATGTTCTTAGGTATTTCAATAGAATGGGTCAGAGACTACAGGTGCAAAGATGATGCCTTCATTTTCTTAATCCCTTTACAAACAAAGAGGGGATAAGCTTGAGAAATCTAGTACCTTCAGTCCAGAAGCCAACATTTTGAAAACACATTGCACCCAGCAAGTTCCATAACATGCCACCCAGTCAGAGGCATTTTGGAATTTCTTCCCCAAATGCCTATGTGATGCCACTTCTCTTCAAGCATCTCTACAAAATCCACCTTTTCTGTTAAGGCTTTGATGTAACCACTACTTCTCATGCCTTACTGTAACTGGGCCTGTAACTAACTCTAAGCATCTTTAATGGAAACAACTGCCTGTTGCCTTCCCTTCTTGTGTTGTTTCTTGTGTGCAAGCTTCTTGGGGCAGGAACCTGTCCTCTAAAGTGCCATACAGACAGCTGCTGCTAAAAGAATAAAAAACCCACCATGTTCAGTGGAGCTTACTCCCAAGTCATTGTGCACATTATTAGAGGCTGAAAAGTTGTTTCTTAGCTCTTGGATCCTGACCATGGTGGTATTCTGTGGTGCTTCAAACCTGTTGTATTGTTTTCTTTGTTGCATGGATATAACCCATCCAAATTGCAAGCTTGCTCATGTAGTGAAGTGTTAAGGCTGAAGTTTTGTTTTTTTAAGTCATATAATTTCATGAAAAATACATGGATTTATATATATTTTATAAGTGCCAACTTAATTATAGTGGCTGCATTCCAGAAAGACAGACTGGTGTGTACAAGTAGTGCTAGTCCACAATTTGCTATGGAAAATCAAAGTTCCCTGGGCAAACTTGATGTCTTCCATCTCATTGCTGGGGCTATGGATTGCGGCCATATTGTACAAACAATAGATGGTATTGTGGAGATGGGTCTTTCTGGGAACCATCCCAAGGAAAAACAGAGAGCATAGATTAAAATAATTATTGCTGACTTTTAAAAGCTTCCTGAATATTAAAAAGGAACACAAAAAAGAAATGCATACTATTATTTCCAAGGTTTCAATAATATAATATAAATGGTGTAATCCTAGCTTGGTGCAAATTAGCTGAATATTTAACACGAGGAATTTAACATGAGGAAAATTAGGAATTTTGGTGCTGGAAAATTATTTTCTCATAATGAACTATATCTTTGTATGCTATAGAATAGATTGGATCAATTCTCGCCTAAGAAAACTTACTTTCTGATAAACTGCAGATAATCTAGTAGCATCTCAATGTCTTAACAATTTAGGCTGCAGTCATATATAGTATGAGTAAGTAAGTCTCCATGAATTCAGTAGGGCTTACTTCTGAGTAGACATGTACAGAATTGCACTGTTAGTATAGCATGAGCTCTTGTGGGTTATATTAGATGCATATGATTTTCCCGTGTGTTCGGCTCTACCCTTTTTTATTCCCTCCCATATTTTTCAGTTTTTCTCCAGGCTGAAATGAGCACAGAAAGTGGGCATTATAATTGTTTTACATTTTTATGACTTCCAAGAATCAAACAAAGACATGTCTCAAGTTGCCAGGTTGTGAAACAGCATGTACTACTACCAGTACTACTATTACTGCAAGTGCTTTAGAAGCTTATTATCAAGCCTTTTATTTTAACATCAGTTGTTACCACGAACACATGTAAGGTGCACGTTCATATGCATGTGTGTACGGGCACACAAGGAAATCAGGTGACACTGTGAAGCAGATCACTATGAGATACCATTCATGCTTTATATTTTCCCCCTCCTTTGGATGTCTGAACTGACTTTCACTCCCATATTAGTGATAGATAATTAAGAGTTGGAGAGCATGAATTGCCTGGGGCCACACCAAGAGTCCATGGCAAAGATGAGAGTCTCTGATCTGACATCAGGTCTCTAGAACTTTTCCCACTGATACACATAGTTTCTGTTTCTCTAGCATCAAAGGACTATTCATTATTGTAACTTCTCATGGGGTGGGGTATGTATGAGTCTCATAGGTAGCTTTCTGGTAAGAAGAGCTGTACTGAAAAAGCTATCCACAGAACTGACTTCCCTTTTTCTACATCAAGAAGTTGGTAGTACTTTAATGCTAGAAGGCTGACATATCCGCTTAGTGGTCTTATTTACAGTTAAATGGTATGAAATTTTAGTTAATGAATTAAATAAATAAATAAATAAATAGAAGAGATGGGAGGGAGAAAGACATCTAAGGGAGCAATTTCTTTTGCTCCAAGAAATTATATTTGCTCCAAGAAATGGTACCATTTCTTTACCAAGAAATGGTAAAGTTTACAGCTTATGTCCTACTTTAAATTGGAATGATGTTCTGTGAGGAAAGTAAAATGTCATTTGCAGAAGCTTTGGGTGGTGTTCAACTGTGTTTTACTCAGAGTAGACCCATTGAAAATCTTATGGATCTACTCTAAGTAAAACATGGTTGACTACCACCCATTGATTTTTACTGTTTAAGGAAATACTGTGAATGGAATCAATCTGTGTACCAGTTTCAGCAGTGAAATGTTAAGGTAGCGCTATGAGTGCCCCAGGCTGCTATGCTCTTCCGCAGCAGATATTACGCATTGGGGACATAGTGAGAGTGTTGCTTCCCACATGTTTCTGGCTTCTGCTGGTTTGCTGACTTTGTCCACTCCTGAACAGGGATAGTCAGATGTCAGTTATTCATGCTCTAGCGACTACATGATTGGTCTACTGCAATGCACTCTGTGTAGAAGTATCTGTGAAAATGATCCAGAAGCTGAAGCTGGAACAGAACACAGCTGCAATGTTATTAAGTGGGGCAGAAAAATGGGATTATATAGCTGCTCTGGTGACCTGTTAATCACCAGAACCAACTCATTGTGTTGACACTAGTATATAAAACCTTAAATGGCTTAGGACCCAAGGACTAAAAGGAACACCCCTCCCAATATCTGCCAACCTGAGCTGTGATTCTTCAGGGAAGTCCTTTCTTTGAGTCCCATCTATAGGCATAGCATGTTGTACAGGAATATGGGTAAAAGCATTCTGTGTTGTGGTCTTCTGGCTGTGGTACTCTCTCCTGATGGAGATGCGGTTGGCACCCTCATTAGCAGTCTTCTGATATCAAGTAAAGACATAGGCATACCTTTTGGTTGGACTGTTGAGAGTTAGTATCCCAATAGTTTGCTCCTCTTTTGAACTGATTATGATTGTAATGTGTTTTTATGTGATTTTTTTAAAAAATCACATAATGTTTTATATTTTTATTTGACTGTTTCAACTCAGGGAGGAAAAAATACTGCTGGTTACTCAGTAGCAACATCTTTTCAAATATGGGCAAGTCTTGTATAAGTTTCCCCCCCCATAAGGGATTCTTTGCTTCTGACGAGCAATACCAATTTCAGTTTGAATTCCAACAGAAATATCTCACAATAGTATTTACACGTTTTAAAAGTCTGTACCAGGAGTCTAAATTATAGCATGCTTTAATCATCTTCGATCTGAGAAGAATAAAAGTGTTAAACAATGTTAGAAATATCTAAGCTGAAGGAAATTTGCTTTCTGTTAACACATGTCAGTGAAACCAAAAGACGTTTTCATTGTCTGATGATCACTTAGATGAATTTCGACCAAACAAATTATCTCTGAGAAGAATCCCATAAACAGTCCTCTAAATAGTTATTTTTATGAATTACAACCAATACAGTGATAGTGTTTTCAAGACCTTGAAAAATTTAAGATCCCAGGATGTAAGGCATTTCTTCCACCGTGTTTGCTTTACTAATGCTTGAACTAGCAGCTGAATGTACTGTGTTATCTGCCATTATTCAATAAGTTCAGTATCTTTGAAAAAACAGGCTATAAAATTTTACTGCAGGACAGCACAGGTCATTATGCATATGGGTTTTTCCAAGGTTTATAGAGTTCTTGCTCAGATAATATTTGTCATTGGTAGGCAGCACTTCTAATGTGTACTATGCATATTCAAAACAGAAAAAGGTGTACATATTTGAAACAGGAAAACATACACAGAGCAAATGGAAGAGATAATGCATGACTTGTACTAGTGCAAAGATTAAGGAAGCACATGAACTACATCAAGGGTGTAGTCCTAATGATACCTAACTTGGAAATAAATTCCATTAAAATGAGTAGTGTTTATTTATTTAGAAATACTTAATATCCTGGTGTGGGATTTGCCTAAGCAGCCCCATTAGTGGAAGCCCTTCACAAGGACTTCCACTTGCACAATGGAGTCCCCCCCCTTTCCCCCCTCCCCCTGTGTGCCCCATTACCATCGCAATTGGCTGGGGGGGGGGAGGCATCACAACAACTCACCCCTTCTTATTCTGCAGTTATCCCGGGTGCCACATTCCATCCTAAAATTATGAGGGCTTTGTGGGGGTGGGTGGGAGGGAAGTAGGCTGTATGCGAAATCCTTCTAACCTCTGGATCCAGCAAGTGTTAAAATATAACCTAGGCTAGCTTCCTGTATTGAGGTCATAGCCTGTTTGATGGACAATTAAGGGAAACAAGGGAAAGGAGCTCTATGTGAGATAGCAAATCGGTGAGGCCACTCCCTCAACTCATAATTAGAAGGGCAAAGCCTGAGTTTAGAGTGGAGCTGGTGTGATGTGACCTGGAAGTAAAGTTGTCAACTGGAGAGAGAGTCAGAGAAATGTTTGAGAACTGTTTGAATCCAAGGCTGCGGCTATGGGAGAATCAAGACCCTTTAATGCTATGAACCCCTCCATTGTAGACTCTGGTTTTATATATGTGTAAATGAACCATGTATCATAAAGACATTACAGTCTCCACTGTACCTCATTCCAAAGGAAACACAAACCCTGGGTATGCACATGGAACCCATGAAAGATTAGGGCAGGGAGCCACACTATTTTAGAGGGATCTTCATCCCTAAACGTTCAGTGTGTATGCATGCCAAGGGCATAGCTGTCAACCTTCCCTTTTTTTGCGTGAAATTCCCTTATTCCAGTGCTCTTTCCCACTGCTTCCCGCTGCTATCCCAGATTGTTAGATATCCCGTAGACTGTCCCCGGAACAGGTGAGGCTGCTGATCCCTTATTTTCAAATCTGAAAGCTATGGCCGAGGGTTACAGAGGAACAGGGGAGACAGGAAAGCCCTTTTCAATGAACTGAACTCAATTCCATGAGTTGAAAGTTTGTTAGGATCCAGGTCACTATGTTGAGGATAAGAAATTAGTGCTCAAAGTTAACTATAAGTAAACGTTCCTTTGTTTCGGGTAGCTAATTGCATCTATTTGTTATAGGGAAAGACACGAGGTGGCATGGTAAACAGGAGACGAATATGCAGTTATACTGATTACATGTACCTTGACATACTTAACAACAAGTTGCAAGGCTGGTTCTAAACATTTTGCTACCAATAAAAGGACAAGAGAGGACCTTATTCCCCATTCTGTGTACAGAAGCCAATTGGACTGACAGTGGATTTTATATAAGTATACCTGAAGGCAGCCAGCTATTTATGGGGGTGTTGCGACTGAAGGGCACAGCCAGAAGGCTCAATGGAAAAACCAGGGGGGGGGCTGCCTTTACTGACCCCCTCTACCTAATGATAGGTCTGACCTTGGTTTCCTGGGACTTGGCTTCCCAGAGACTTGAGTTTTGAAGAGGGATTTGTAGGAAGTAATTTACTATCACTTAGCAATGTTATTGTTCAAAACATAGTTCATATCTACTTTCATTTAACCAATGACACAAATTGCATTTGTGGGTCTTGTGTGCATCTGACTGAAAATAAGAAACATCTGTGAATCCTGTTTCACTTGCTCATTAACATTTTGAAGCAATGGAAGAGGTCAGTAGTTCTTCAGAATGGCTTTTCCTTAAATATGACCACTGTTTTCTTTATGACCTCTTGATATGCCAGGTCTTAGTCTCAGAAACAAATATGGCAACAGTCAAACTCTATTCTGCTACATAACTCTGATTAGTTATTAGAAGGCTATCAGTACTTCTGTACAAGGAAACATAAATTATATGATATAAAGATAGTATGTAGTCATATCAACAGGTACTGCTATAAACGAAATGGCATGGCAGAGACTCAAAACTTTTTTTCCTTTTGTAAAATTTTAAATATGCACATATATACACACTTATATGACCATTCAAAGTTAAAGCTGTATTGTTGCTTTTAAGTTCAGGCCTTCAATTTTTTAACATGATACTGATGTAGAAAAAGTTGGTTGTACTTGGCTTGTGAAGGGCTTGATCCAAACCCCATTAAATACAATAGAAATATGACCTCTGACTTCACAAAGCGATGACTGAGGCTTGTTTGTCTTTGCTATGCCAGGTTTCCCCCTTCTCTTTTACTTAAAAACATCATATTTAATAATGTTTGGTGCTGCCTTTTATTTTATTTCATGCATTTAAAAAGTGGCCTAAAAGATAAAAGATTGTTTCCAAATACATTCAGTATATCATTTATGAGTAGAGCAACACATTAGCATTGAGTTCACAATAGATCATATCGCTTTTATGCCATCTTACAAGCTTAGCAGCACAAACAGAATAATCAACATATTATTTGGCTGTCATCTGCTGAACAGAAACCAGAGATCACAAGGTGGTTTTCCCTAGCTGCAGTGATGGCCTTTTTTGTTCCAGGCCCCCATCTGGGAGGGCCATGGTGTGTTATCATATGGAACGCGAGGTTTTCTGTAATCTGCTTAGTTGCACTGCAGTTTGAATCTTCATTCCATGTTTGAGTAATTTATAATTTTAATGAGACCATGGCTCTTGTGGGCTTTGAAATATATTAAAAGCTCTTTTGTGCATATGCTTTTGTTCTTGCTTAATAGGCTCAGTGTATTTAAACCTGATGATTTTTTATTCATGGATTTAGATGTCTGGGGATTAACTTAGACTGAATATCATTGCACTCATCTATTCATGTTTAGAAACTGTGTATTTGTATTGCTTATCCAAAAATAGAGGAAAATATAGCCATGTGATTAAATATTGATTTCTCTTATTTGTCACATAAATGCAACAGCCTCAAATGAGTATTAATGGAGTGTTAATTATCTAATGTGGTTCCATACACTATTACTCTGGTCATATGCATCCCAGTTTTTGTCTAAGTAGCTAGGTCCATAGAAAGCAATGGGGCTTTCTTCCAAAAGTGTATACATAGACATGGGTGTAAGATATTTAAAGATGGTTGGAAAAATATGTGTTGACAATTTATGTAGAAAAATTATGTAGTGTCATAAGATGTATACAAAATATAATAGTTTGGGCAAATTCTCTGCCTATTATTTACAACTTTCAATAATTTCTACCCATCCTTCATACGGGCAGTACATATAATATCGGTGTCCTATTGACTTAAATGGCAATAAACTCTACACATCTAACAAGCATACAGGTGCAGAGATGATCCTGACATTTAAGCCATTGGGGAAGCCCTCATCCTCATGCAGAAACTTTCTGTGTGAATTGGATCTCCTGGGCGCAAAGCATACCCTGGAATGGGTTGGATATCCCTGATGGGTTCACTTTCCTTTTGAAGTTTTTTTGAAAATCAGGGCTGGGGGAGGGGAGTGAGTTTTAGGCTAGGAGTGGATACTGGGTCCTGAAGTTGTAAAAAGACCTTTTCAGCAGAGATCTTTGTGGCAGCTGCCTACGAGCAGCCATTCTCCCTCCCTGCAGAATGTCCCAGAACAATGCTATGTCTTGATGCACTGTGATTCCAGTGGACGTTGTGGGGGCAGTCCCTGATGGAAGTGGTTGTTCCCCTGCCATACCCTTCTAATGAGGTTACATCATCATGTACCTTCTTTCCACATTTGAAGGGTGGCAGGTGGAAAGTGGCTGCCACAGTGAGCTTTTGCAGCAGTAAAAATGGGAGAGGAAAGGACTTATTAGAACATAAGTACCCTCCAACTGGTAACTCCCACCACTCAAAAACCTTAGGTACCCCCTCCTCAGATTCCAAAAGCCCTTATGAACCTAGTCTCTTACTTTCAAGGCAAAAGCTGATGACCAAAAACTTTCAGCTCAACACCAAAAGAAAACACGTATCTGTGTTGACTGCCCCTACGAAAATGACCCTTGCATGCAAAATGACACCATGTCTAGCACCTGTACTCCATGCGCTCAGACAACTTTAGGACTACTAATTTCCAGAGAAGCGGTAAATAATTCTCACTTACATATTGATAGCCATTAGTTACAGATGTATGCCATGATACCAGCAATACAGAAGCAGTTTCATGAATAAAGATTTTGGAAAGCGGATTGAGGAAGAATTTTGAAACAAACACGTAGAAGGAAATCCCTTTCTTCAGCAAACTGGTGAATGGTTCTGAAGGCTACTTAAATTTCAGACATCTTCTGTAAGTTACATTTCAAGGAAGGCTTGACTTTCTGCTTCTTCCAGTACAGTATGGACATATGGCAACTCAGATGGTTCTTACACGTCTTCAAATTTTGCTGTGGTGTGGGATTGCACAACCTTGTTTAATTATTTGCAATCTTGCAATATGTATTTAGCCTGTTTATGGCTGATATCTTACCATGCAGAACATGTATGAATGTATCTTTACATTTCAAGTATTAATCTTAAAATGTGAAACTGGTGACACAGATGAGAATAACATTTGGCCCCTTCCATTTTGTATGTGCATGGAGCTTGTTTTTCTAATAATGAGTTAAAATCAATAAAGTATTGACTTCTTTATTTTTCCAGAAAAAAAGATGGATTGATATATCTCAAAATTCTACAACTCACATAAATGTCAAGGTGCAATAAGCACATGTATATGTACGTTTCATTGATTTCAGTTGGAATTTATTAAGAAGAAAGTAGTTACAATCAGGTACCCTAAGTAAGACAGCACAGAAACAAAAAATGTTCATAATCAGTAAGCTTATTGATAAATTTATGTGTCCACAGCAAACATGATTAATTAACAGGGAGGATTTCAGTGTATATTAAATTTAAAAATATATTTGGCTTACTTAGTTGTGTATTTAATTGGTTTAAAGAATATATATGAATGGCAACAACATTTTAAAAATTCTTATCTTACACTATTTATTTCATGAATTTGAGAAAGCCTTTGGTTTCAGGAAGAGGATAATTCTATCCATGTTTCCTGCTTTTATTATGCACAATGTCAATTGTAATCCAAGATTACAGCAAACAAGATGTTAATTTCCACACACAGTCCATGTACATTTCACTTAGAGAGCTCCATTGTTTCAGAAGCCAACAGCAAAAAAGAAATAATGATTGTGCTATCCTCACAGGAGCTGTCAATAAAAGATGTAATAGGGGATTTAGGAATCTGGAAATGGCCAACTAATTTATGTGAATCTATTTTACTTCATCTAGAAAGGCAAAGCTCTGTTTCGTCTACACTGCATATTGCAGAGCACAGGCTCTTTATAGAAAACCAGGCGGCTGCATATGGATAGTCCCTTGATATCATTCACTTGCTGTGTAATCTTATTATGCAAAGTTCTAATCTTCACCTAGAATGAATGCCTCTGGGTCAGAATATAGTCATATCGGGGTTTTTAAGGTCATGTTTTGTGATCCTTAGCTTATTCTTCTAAGTAGGACTGAGATTTAAAGGGTATTCCCCAGACACTAGCAGAGATAGACAGCAGAACCTGCTGCCTTTTTGGAAGACAAGACCAACATGAGGTCCCTGGTAGGATTAAACTTGATTTGTAGCTGTAGGATTTTTTAACAGATGTATTATTGGACAGGGAATAGGGGCCACCAGCACAGCGAAATTAGATCACGATTGGCATTCTCGGGGAGTCTGCTGGCTGCTAAAACAGCAGCTGCATGTGGATTTGACTTCTTTCAGGTGAAGCGACTTCCAGTCATTTGGAAAGGATGGGATGAAAAGGAACCTTGGTGATAATTTTGATGTCTGCAAGATTTAGTACCAGCGTAATGGGATTATCGCTAACACCTTCGCTGCAGAAAAAGCCACCTGGCGCTATAACTGGCAGCAACTGTGAACTAATCCTTTCCCATCTCTTGGATGTCATTCATGAAGCTCACAGCGATTTCTACCCTGCTAGCTGTGATTAATTTTATAAACAAGGGGTGGGGGTGGAATCGGGTAATGAAAAATGCAAAGATTCTTGTATTTATATTTCAGATTTGACTTTGGACTGGATGAAAAGTATCAGGTAAAATGTGTATTTTATACCACAAATCTGAATAAGTGTCTTCCCACATCAGTTTATATTTCTTGAATGAAGCCTTGACAGTGAGTTATCACATAGTACATATCAGTGTCATGAATTAGCCATAAGCAATTAAGGCTGCACTCCATAAAGGCCCACACTTGAAAAGAAATCTGCACACACACAAATTACCATGTTGCGTAGGCATGATCTAGGGAACCACACAAACTGTTTTTTTCAAGGGAGCACAGAGGTGATATACCGTACCTTTTGAACTGTTTTGCAGGTTACGCAATTTTGTGAACTTCTTTCCACAGTGCACCACACAGATTTTGGCTGAAGGAATGTTTATGCCCATGGTTGTAGGTATATGAAAGTTGGTGGTATGTAGTTCAAATAGTACTTTTGTTGCATAGGTGTCTATACTTGCCGTGTTTACCTACAGACAAGTGTACTGTGTGACAAATGGTTAAACATCTTGAAGTATTACATTAATCTCTTTATAATTAAGGCAGTACTGTTTAGGAAATGTGTGAAGAATATTTTTTCAGGGAAATGCCACTAATATACGCCTTCTAATGTAAATTTACAAGTACTATAACTGAAGCACAGTGCTTCATTATGCTGGATCACCACTTTGTTCAAAGACCAGAAACTCTTTGTAGTCTCAGGAGCTTCAGTTAAAAGGTCTGTTAAAACAATACAAAGTTGTGCACCCCAGAATATATATATATATTCTGCACAGCTGACTTCCATCTATTCGTGTGTATTACAGCTCATCCCCCAAAATAGATTCTAGTGGCCAGAAGCACTTGACTTAACAGTGTAACTAATCAGCATGTCCAAGCACGTGTTTGTCGCTGCTGACCCGGAAGTGGCCTGAAAACGGGGCTGGAGGGGCTGGGTGAGTTGGGTTTGGCTCATGTGTGCTCTGCCAATGCGCACAGGGGTCAGGAACGGAACCCCTGCACAAAATGGTCACCACCTGTACTCTCATGGGTCAGCGTAGGACCTCTAGATCCTACCTCTGTATCCATTTTCCCTTCTCCTTTCGGTACTGTCCCATTTCACCTGATAAATTTTGACATGACAATTTCTCTTCATCTCTCTCTCCCCCTCTTTCCTTCCATTGCTCAGCACATTCTTGGAAAGATATAGGAAACCTCTCCCTTTTTATATTTGGAGGGCTTTGGAAAGTTACCCGACCTCTCCATTATGTTGAAACACTCTCTCTTCTGCTATTAAAAGCATGGTATGGTCAAAACCTAACACTTTGTGAATGGAACAGTGGGCAGTCTGCCTGCTTTGTATATTTAGAGCATACTGTATGCTTTAATGACATCCTTAGGAGGAGGACTCAGTTTCTGTAATAAGCATGGTGTAATAAGCACTATAACACTCAGACTAATTTAATATCAAATGAAATCATTTCACAAGAAATGGCCCATATATATGAGTAGAAAATTGGACAAAGAGCCCTCATGAGATCTGTGCCAGAGCTTTAACTTCAATATTTTCCTTGCATTACACATGTTCTTGAGTGTTGGTTTCCAAAAGTTTTCATATGAAATATTTATTTTATGTAGTGCTTACCACCTAACATTCTTATGTCTATGTTTTCTCATGCTCTCCGCAGGTGTCTGGGCCTTTCTTTCTCTTGTTATAGTCATCTTGTGTTTGAACTAGACAACCAAGCAATTTCTTTCAGGCTCAAATTGCTCTTTAACCGAGGAGGCCATTCTAGCAATTATTGCGGGAGAGACTTTGTTACTGTAGCTCCTGCCAGATACTTTGTGGTCATTAATTCCCACCTGTCCTATGACACTGAGTGATCTGCTGACACTCAATCTTTCTTTTACTACCTACAAAAAATGTTTTAAACTCACAGCATTTTGCCCTCTGACATCAAGGTTTTACCCATAGTCTTATAATTTCCTGGGTTGATTAAAGTGCAACACTTTTTCTGTGGCTTCTGCGTAAACTATGATTGAAAGCATAATTAGTTCAGAATACAGCTGTTCTCGTTTCAATTTACGTGTGCCCTTTTGCCCATATTCCTGGCGCTGCATACATCAAAAAGGAAGATAATTTCTTTTAAGGTTTTGCCAATGGTATACCTTACATATCAACTTTGTGAATAGCGGGTTCGCAATTCCAGCATGTTACTGAAATAGTTTCTCTGTGCCTGTTACTGTTGAATAGTGCATTAGTAGCTTAGAGTAAGACTGCTAAATCCTTGATATACTTAGGTACAGTATTCTAGAGATTTCAGCCCATGGAGGATAACAGCTTGGAAAGCAGACAAGTATGGAAAACAATTAAAAACAACAACAGCCAAGAAGTCAGTTTTGACTAAAGAAAAAACAACCACAATAAAACCACCATCTCTATAGGCTTCTGTTTCTCATTATAGTTGAATTTTTGCGTTTACGGTAAATATGAAAGTAATTTTTCTATCCCAACACTGGAATTAGCTGCACAATCATTTAAAGCTTTTTCTGTCTGTCTTCTAAAATTTGAAAGATCTCCACAAGTGGATATAGGGATACTGGATAGGTAGAGAGCTAATTAATGTTTTTCTCTTGACCACTGTGCTTCTGTTATTGTGTTAATGTGTTTTGCCTCAGTTGTCATCTAATTTCCATATATAAGTTTTAGAAGTTTCTTCTATATTCAATTGATGCATTTGACACCCAGAAATAAGCACTTTGTCTTCTCATAGGAACTCATTAAATGGAAATAACACAAGAGAATCTTGATAAGTCTTAATGTGACTGTGAGCCAGCAATGTGATGAGGCTACAAAGGAGGCAAAAGCTATTCCAGTGATATGTGAGAACTTCCAGTAGGGTTAGGGAAACATATTCTATAAGAAATGGGTAATGTCTATTTCTCTTCATGTTTCTGGCACATATCTATTATATTGCCTATTATCCAAAATAATAACAGAAGTAGCTTGCCTTGTGGGGTGGAGCTGCAATGCTAGCTTCCTGGCAGGTGTGTCACTGTCTCTTACCAAGAGGGAAAGAGCGAGGTGTGATGTGTGGTGCAGGTGAAGTAGTTGGGTAAAACTAATACTCCTGTTGTTGCACTTGCACTACAGTGATCTTCCCTTCAACTCGCCCTCTGCTTCCAGGTCAGCAGTTGCAGCACACCTGCCAGAAAGCTAGTGTTGTGATTCTGTCCCATCAGAACCACCTTTGTGTTTTGAATACAGTGGTACCTTGGTTTAAGAACAGCTTAGTTTATGAACAACTTGGATTAAGAACGCTGCAAACCTGGAAGCAGGTGTTTTGGTTTGTGAATTTTGCCTTGGAAGCAGAACATGTTCCGCTTTTTGTTGAGTGTGTTCCACTTGTAAATTGAGTCCCCTGCTGCTATGGGAAAGCACGCCTTGGTTTAAGAATGCTTTGGTTTAAGAATGGGCTTCCAGAACGGTTTAAGTTCGTAAGCCAAGGTACCACTGTATCTAGACTGGGTCTGGCGGATACCATATTGGGATGGTACCAGATTGAGTGCACATTTGACACCCATCTTTCATAATGAATGAAACTTAAGGATATATGGGGGAACTAATATCATAACAATTTACAGATGGATGATCAATGACCATATAATTCTGTATGAACAATTAACCCTCTCATGAAAGGTTTTCACTGAGTAGGTTGGTTTTTTATATATATTTTCAAGTCAGATATAGTGTAACATGCTAAATTCAGCCATCCTTATAATGTTTAAGCGTTTGATTCTTGTATAACAAATCTCAACACCCAGAAACTGATCAGTAAGATATATCATTTATTACCCAAACACAAATAGCCCAGATCTCTTTCAAGAAGAAATATAATGATGATTTTAATTTTCCAACAAGAGTGGTCATATTTAACAACATTCCTTCAAATGATGTTATTCACTGATTGCACGTTTAACTGTTTGCTGTCTGTATATTGTAATTTACTGTTTTATTGTGAAGTAACCCACCATGGGACTTTTTGTGAAGGAATGGTAACAAATATGCTTCATAAAGACATTTAAAGGGTCTAAAAAAAATACTTACCAAATCACATTTTACTCCATACAGGTTGAAATTTACCATACGGAATTTACTCTGATAGTTCTGATTTATGTTGGAAATGCTGGGCTCCAAAAGCAGACTACATACAACATTGTCTGGACTTGCCTAAACAAACAATTCTGGAATGACGTTATAGCCAAAATTCATCAGTTCACAGTCTACCAGTACCAGCTACCAGAAAACTGCAAAGTAAATCTTTATTATCTAAAACTTGAATTAAATCATGTTAATTAGTTATTTTAATCTCTTATTCTCATTGTTTGTGTTACTTGTTTTGTATCAGTGTTTTGTAATTCTTTAATTATGTGAAATACGTAATGAATGAAATGAGAGATTAAGAAGAAAGCCTAAGTGGTAGTTTACATTTGGAATGTCTTGCTGGAAGGATAGTTGTGCTTTTAAGCAATGAGGACAAGTTGCTTCTGTGATTTTTTTTCAGCTCCACATAACCCGCATTAAAATTCTTCTTGAACTTTTAACCACATTAATCTCCCTGAAAATTAATTTGAATCCTGGTTTGTGAAATGTAGCATCTTATGTTAGTATATTTTATAAATTCTGTTGAATGCTTGTACTATGATGACAATTCATATCTGGTGTATTTCCGATCCCTTAAACTAGGACCAGCTGCACAACCATAAAACTGCTATGTTGCAAGATGTCATTAGAAAGACTCTTCGACTTCTTGGATATACTATTCAGTATGGGTGCATAGCACATTGTGCCTTTGAATACATTGGAGGAATTGTTGTGGTGAGTTAACAAAGGCTATCAAATAAACAATAAAATTACCACGTCAATTTTAAGTTTCTTAGCTTTCACACTCCAGCCTTCTGTTTTAATAAAGAAGTATTTGAAGTATACTCATCTAGACTTTATAACTTGAACCTTTAAATATTTCTTTAAACTGAGCAGGGAGCTCATGATTCTGACCCTGGTGGGTTTTCACCACCTATTAACAACTTTTTTTATTTCCCCAGGTTTTAGATTAGTTTTAGCTATGGAGTTAGGCAGTTGTGCTCACAGAATTTGTTGACTGGTTTTATAGAATTGCTTTTGCCTAGTTATTTCATGTACTGTTTACTTGTAGTACCCCACACTAGGATTGTTTGAATGAAGAGTTGGCTAAAAATAAGTAACTAAAATAAATGATGCTCCTGTATTTAACTTCAGCCCCCGGAAACTATTGGTACATGGCTATTTTCATAGGTTTAGGGCTGAGTAAGCAAGAGAACTGAGTCTGACCAAACTGCGGGAGACAGTGGAAGACAGAAGTGCCTGGCGTGCTCTGGTCCATGGGGTCACGAAGAGTCGGACACGACTAAACAACAAACAACAACAAGCAAGAGAATGTAACTCAGGAATTATTCTCTGGCTCATTATTTAATCTGAGCCATAGAAGAATGTGTAGGTTTGTAACGCTTGCCTCTTTGATCTCCCAAAACTAATACTAAACTTCACTGACATCTCAGGTGAGAATTCAGGGCCCAGTGGAACCAGAATCTATAGAGAGAGACATCAAACTTATAGAAATCAAGGGGACAGGTTTACACATGAAAATCAGCCTGGTGCACTCCAGATATTTGGAGTACAACTCACATCTGTATGGCCATCCAGGCTGGGACTTCTAGGAAGCTGTAGTCCAAATATCTGAGGGGCACCAGGTTGGTGAAAGCTGAGCTGTTTTATATTTACCAGATTGGCCTAAAGATGCTGTAATTTATTTATTTAAAATACTACATGTGATAACATACTTCTCAAATAGTAATTGTCCTCTTTATTTTTGTTTTTAGTGTTCAGGACCTTCAATGGAGCCTACAATTCAAAATTCTGATATTGTGTTTTCTGAGAACCTTAGCCTCCAGTTTTATAACATTCAGAAGTATGTTGCTCCAATTTTCCATAGTTCTGTTTGTACAGATACTTGCTTTCTGATTATGCTTATCTTTATAATCATACTGCTGCTTTTATTGTTAATTTTGTAAATATTTTTCATAAACTCTTAAGTTACCTATTTTAAATTGGGAGAATAAATGGGTATCATTTTCTGCCTTCTGGAAACTTTCCTGATTTGGTATATTTTTGCATTAATTCAGAGACTGAGAATTCATTGTGGATTATCTTCGCAGGTTTTCTTTATAGCCCCCCTACTTTAGGATTGCTTATTTTTAGCTTATCTTGCCCTATATTGTAATGGACAACTAGAGTATATCTCCAGGAAGCAAATTCACAGAGCAATTCTCTCCAGAAATGCCATAAATGCCATTTATTATGTTATCCAAATGCTGCTTTATTAGTAGTTTATAGAGCTGTGGATGTGTACACAGTGCTCAACGGTCATATAAAGGGCCAGGCCCTATGCATTAATCCATATATTTGCAATCTAACACTTAATTGCTGCTGGATAACAATTTGAAAATAGGTTGTGGTGCAAGGGAGTGGGAAAGCATATTGTTAGCCAGTTTGCTGAATGCTTTAGAAAATGGGAGGCCAGCCTGTGTTATGGGTGTTGCGTTGTCACAAGGAGCCATAGTTTGTAGCACTTGATGCTGGTCACACACAGGAGAGGCTACAGGATTGGTTATGTATGACATAATAGGCGGGACAATGATTCTCCAACACTGCACTGCTCCCTGAATCGGTAGATAGAAGGCAATACCACCTCAAAGTGTAGGGGCAGGATGGAGCCTGCACTAGAATGGCATTCCCTAATAATTCAGACTTGTCATTTGGCACAGTGTCCCAAACAGTTGGCAGCACCAATTTGAAATGTGTCCATTGTCAACTTCTTTCTGGATCCTGACATTTCCTCACAACCTTTTTCCTCAGAGGTGATATCATCATTGCGAAAAACCCAAGTGACCCCAAATCTAACATATGTAAAAGAGTAATTGGCTTGGAAGGAGATAAAGTCTGTACAAGCAGCCCTTCAGATTTTCTTAAGACCCACAGTTACGTAAGTAGCATTGCGTATCATTCTTTTTGAGGACACTTGTAAAGCACCTTTTTGTTTGCATGGCTTTAAATTTAATTCAGCATTTCAGGCAGTAAACGTTCAGTTGCAGTGGGTTGTTTCCACTTCAGCACTTGTACAGTGACATTCGCTGAAAGGGAATTTCGCAGTCCCTTTTCCCCACTCCAGCCCACCACACACATTCACACATTCCTTGAAGTTCCGTGGGACAAGTTATAAGAAGGCATCTCTGCTGAAGAACCAAAACATGTCAAAGTTAAGCATATCCACATTTCCCAAAGACTGACCAGATATTTCTGGGTTGAGCCCAAGATCTATTCTTAAGCATGACCCTTTAGGCAGGGAATGACAGTTGTAAAGTAGTCAACAACTTTTGGAGATTGACCTATGTTAGGTCAACTTTTTAGCACCTGAATTTATTGTAACCTCAGAATGAATGGAGCAAAAATCCTGTTTGGTATATTATACATTCCATATATAAATAAAATTCTAGTTCAGCGTGGCAAATAGGTGCCATTTTTGAGTAGGTGGTAACCATGGTTTCTATTTAAATAGTTTTCAGTTTTGGCTATATTAAAAAATTTACTACATGAATTTATATAGCAAGTCCTTTCCTGTGGAATCCATTTTAAAAATTCAGATTGAATAAGTTTTGCTCTCATAATCTACTTTATCTTGCTTGATCCCTGGAGTGAAAAGAATAATGTCGTGTTTGACATGACACCCCTTTGTTATGGAGATAAACATGCAAGGCCCTAAGAAATGGAGGAGTATCACTATTAGTCTCAAATTCATTACAGGATTAGACAGGATAAGATGTGCAGTGTTAATGTGGCAGGGTTAACACTGCTATATCATTCAGTCCCTAAAACTCACAATGTATACAGGATTAACACCAATATTGTATTAATTCTTTTCCTATTTAATTTACTGACAAAAATACAGTGATTCCAGTGAATTCAATTTTAAAGCATTATGTGCTCATGCTTGTTTGTGAATTCTGATGAAACAATTGAGGAAAGACAAATGGAAACTGAAGCTCCTTTCTGAAAATGCAATGAATATAAACTTTATCTCGTTTTGGCTTAGGAAATATGTCACCATGCCAACATTATACAGCTGCACGAGCAGCTTTGTGTTAAGATAGGACTGGGGGATTTGAAATAAAGCATGACTTTAAATGTTTCTTGCACTTAAATGGAATGGAACACCTTGAAATTTGAAAATACTAGGAAAGGTGAGGGACCTAGAACAGCTGTGACATCACATTTCACCTTGGAACTAAGGCAAAGCCTCACACATTTTCTGAAGTCTCCAATGTATTTTCCATTGACTAGAATAAGAACATCAACAGCCACATAAAACTTTCATATGTTGGCATGAGCCTACCAAATTTGACAGATAAACGCAGGAGGTTTTGTGCAAGAGGGGCTTTTAAAGTTGTTTTTTTTTTAAAAAAGGATGCCCTCCCTCAACCTGTGTTTTGTGGCCAATTTGCTGTGTTCTTTGTTGTGTGTTGTTTGACAATGTATGCTGTGTAACACAGAGTTAGAGAAGTGCTTGATATAAACTATATAACCCTATATACTTGTAAAGCCCTCAATGACCCAGTTTAATGATTTGTAACAGCATTCTAAAACAAACTGTGTTTCAGTTATTCACTTCAATTAACATCAGAATTAGGGTTTCTTTAGAAAATGTATTGACAACAAAACTTGGTCCCCCCCCATAATTGTATTAAGTGCATTTATCACAGTTCAAATTTAGAACTATATCAAATAATGAATATTGTATTGTTGCATTTGCCTGTGATTTAAAAATGTGCCTGTGTTACATTCTATTTACCATATGTTCAGTTGGTGCTGTTGCTATTTACAAACTAAAGAGGCAAGCAGGAAAATTGTAATAAACTAGGTTATATATCGCAAGGCACTGATATGCTCAGCCCTTGTGTCACTTCAGCAGAAGAAGGGTCTAGTAATGTCACTTAATACAGATAGGACCTGTAAATAAGGAACCTGCTTTTTGCAAGTCGTAGTGATAAAAAGCTGAGATACAACTCCATTTCTCAGCAACACTCTACTGATAATCAATTACCACACACTGCTAATGCCCTGACAACAGCTGATGTGGAGAAAAATGTTTACTTTGTGCTAAAGTGAAGTTCACTGAGGAGATGACCTGCCCTGTTCATCCTGTAGCTATCTCTAAAACTAACACAGGCTGAAGATTGAGTGTCTTAATATCTGCAAATCTGAGAACAGGTTTTATTCAGCTCTTTGTTACATTCGCCATTGTAGGCTCCTAGGCTTTAATATTCAACATGTACAGTACAGTAGATATCTCCTTATTCAATAGGAGTTTCTTTGGAAGCAGTATTCTTAAGAGGTCTGTGAAGATTCTGAAGTGAGAAACAGGGCTGCTGTTTTGGGCATGGAGGTAACTGAGGGTGGTTCTTGTCAGGAAAGATTACTGCAAAATCAAAAGAATAAGCATTATTTTTTCATAAGCCATTTGTTAATTGTATGTTTACCTTGTAGATATTGAGACAAGGGAGCACCAGTTCTACAGGTCTCCCCTTCAGCCTGCCTATAACTTTTTACCAGGCAATTATTGTTATTTTAAAATCAATTTTCTTTCAAGTCATACATTTCCCAATACATAAGAAAATAAGAAGAGCCCTGCTGGATCAGACTATACCTATACCTATAGGAAGCCCGCAAACAACTCATTCAATGCATGATTGAGTTACAAAAGTACAATCCTTTTCGGTAGGATGGTGGTATCTCCATGTATCAAAAAGGTGAAATTGCACTGAGTTTTGCTGCAATATTTTAAGTTCTTGTTTTTGTAATCTGTCCTCACAAAATGGTTCTCCCCCCACTCCATCCAATTTGTCTATCCAAATTGGCTTGTGTTATTTGATTTCTTTTTGGAAAATGCTTTCTGATTACAGCTGGCAACATGTACACCCTAAAAGAATAGCCTTATTTCCAAGCATGCCTATGCCAAATTTGAATGGTTTGGCTTTCTTATCCATTCAGGGGTAATTGATTGGGTGCTTCTATATGGTGGCAATTCCTTTTCTCTTTCATTTACATAGTAAAAGTACTTCACCCAGGTTCAAAGACTCCAAATATTTTTCTTTCCCAGATCATCTGCAAGTTTTCTGTAACATTATTAATGTCTTTTATTACGTTGTTGTGCATACTTCTTTCTCTTATAAGGGGGTGCTTAGTCCCTTTTTTATGCTGTTAATGTTTCCATTAAAATCAGAATCCTCGTTCATAACTATGCAGAGCTAAAAAAAACCAAGGTCAGGTGGGGAATATGGAAAAGGAAAAGATTTTTAAAAATACAAGCATGAACTTGGTTATACAAGTTACGAAGGATTTTGGAGAGCTGGTAAAAAGAAGATTAATGGTTGAATTAGTCAGTATGGAAGGGATAATGTTAGTAGCTTTATGGTTGGTGTCCCAAAGGCCTAATCTGTAAATAAAATACAATGACCACAAAAGAGGTTGCCTATGCAGAGGTAACAATAAAAGAATAAGGAGCTGCTTCAGTGGTATATACAGACCTAAAGGATAGCAGTCTTAAAAGGGAGAGGAGAACAATACAATATACTGTTAAGTAATAATTAACAACATTTGCCTTTAGACAGCAGTGAAAAGTTTCTATATTGCTTTAAACCTTCCATGTATGGGTCCAAATAACATCTAGGCAACAGTCAATTTTACGGACTATCCCACCTGGACTCTAAGTTCTAGCTGCAATTTTGAACACAGTGGATGGAAGAAAACTAGATATTCCACTTTTAGGATTTTGTTAGCTCAGTTGTGCCAACTGAGTTTACTAGCACATTCATATACTTCCTTAATCAGCTCTTTCTAATTAAACACATACTGCGTGATAAACACCCTCCAAAATTATTATAATATACCAAGAGTAATAAATGAGTAAATGATTTATTTAAAATCATACTACATAGAGGATTAAAGATGACAATTCAGGGAATAGGTTTTGTGATCAGTGAGCAGAACTTGAGCCATTAGCATCTGAGCCATTAGCTTCTAAGTCCCCCTGAAGTCATGTGGCTTATTCCTAGGTAAGTTCACCCTAAAGCTCACTGTACACACACACTACGTATTGAAAACATACATTTACTACATACTTCACAACATAATGCCTCTTAATGCTACCAGTTTGATTCTTTTACAGACAAGTGTAAAGACTAACTGATGTAATAAATGCGACATGGTGGTGGTTTGCTAAATTTACATGCATCTCCAGAGCAAATGTCATGTAGAAGTTCTGGGACCATTTAAAGAGTAAAATAAAATAATCTGTATTCCATGTGACCTGAAACATACAGGAAAATCTATTACTTTTGAGGGGTTTTTTTTAATTATTACTTTAGTTTGTATATATCTTAATTATGTGCAATTTAACTAATCAAATATATAAATTTCATTAGTAGCCAGTAAATTTGTTATTTGATATGGCAGACTCTTTTATCGTGTTTCACTTTAATCAAGAAAGGTAACACCTGTGGTTTATTCACAAAAGCTTCTTTTGTCAGATGAATACCCACAGGCAATGAAGCAATTACATTTGTTCCTTGTACCACTTCGACCTCCCTAGGAATAGATGAGAACTTTTTGGCTTTCATTCTTTTGTCCAACAGCATGTCTAGCTTTTGTCATTGAAGGAAGCCGCTGAAATGTAAGGTAACAGAGAAACAAAATAAGATTCTTTTTAAACTCAGAGCTCTGATATCCTTGGTGGTGGAGTCCCTGCATCCTTCGCGGTGTTAAAATGCACTGGGCCACCCTTTGAAGAGGAAAGAGCGGTGAACACTTTTTGAAAAAAAACAATAATTAGAAAGCAAATGTTCGATTTTCCTACTTAAAATTAAAATGCTAAGACATAAATCAGCAATAGTTCTTTGTGGAGCTTTGTAATTTTGGGTATATTCAGTAAGTTAGAATATATGCCTAGTTTTTTCCTAGCGTTGTTCCAAGGAGCAGACAACAAAATACAAAACATTTGAAGTATCAAATTAAAGCAAAAGAAAACAGTAAGATAGTCACTAAGTGTATTGGTAGCCACAAAACATATTGGTAGTCACTAAAAATTTCCTAGGAAGGGCAGCAAGTTGTTTTCAGTGACTAAGATGGTCAGGAAGCCGTGGCAGCTAAGTTGTAAGTCCTTGTCTGTCATCTTTAGGATATGAAAATTTCTGCAATGTGTTGCTCCATGTGTTAACTCGCCCACTTACCAGCTTTGCTTCAGTTTCCAGGAAGGGTATTGTGGCAGTTGGAAGTAGCCCCAGCATGGGCTTCCACCACATGGTACAGAGCTTCTGACATTACTGGAGCAAAACAGGAGAGGGTACTCCAGGAGTGGGCAGCCTGTGGCCTCCAGAAGTTGTTAAGCCACAACTATAACTTCATCCTTGGTCGTTGGTCATGTTGGCTGGGGCTGACAGGAGTTGAGAGTCCAAAGACACTTGAAAGGCCCATAGGATAGTCTCCCCTGCTCTTAGGTTAATGTCAGAAGAGGTGCACAGGATAGCCAGTGGCTTTACATGGCTGGGCTGCTAATAAATTATCAAGTGTGCCCATCACATAGTTCTCATCTCTCCCTAGAGAGGTCAAAGTGTCTCTTACGTGGTCGTAATCTAGAGATTATGTGATCTTGTACTTACAAATGGAGCTTTCTTTAGTAGCAGTTCCTAGATGACTTGGCTGTGCAAGCTTCCATGCTTTCCCCACCCAACTCTCCCATCTCTGCCCTGACCTTCGCATATAAAAAGTAGGGGCCGCATTTGGGCAATCGTATTGCGGCTTAATAATCCAGCCTTGCCAGAGAAAGCAAAGCAAGGTTTGTTGGGCAGCCCTCTAGGCTTCTGTCTGGCCACACCCACCACAGACCACAGCCCTTTTTAGCCCAGCTCTGTGGTCTCCTCAAATGCTTTTGCCTAGCTGGAATGGGTCTTTGAATGTGATAATGCCTCTTGTCTGACTGAAGAAATGGAGGTGAGGGAGGAGTGCGCAGAAACTTCAGACTTTTGTATGGTTGGAGGATAGCATGCTGTGCAAAGTCAGGTGTCACACCATGCCCACTTTTGCCTTTGCCACCACTTTAATGCACCCTGTTTGGAAGTTCACCCGTCACATTCCCCATCCCTGTTCTGGACCAAGACATAGAATCACAGAATTGTAGAGCTGGAAGGGACCTTGAGGCTCATCTAGTCTGCAATTGCAGGAATCTAAAGCATCCATGATGGTGGTTGTCTGTATCTTCATTATTAAGGATGGTATTCAACTAAGGTTTACTCATTAGACCAGGCATAGGCAAACTCGGCCTTCCAGATGTTTTGGGACTACAACTCCCATCATCCCTAGCTAACAGGCCCAGTGGTCAGGGATGATGGGAGTTGTAGTCCCAAAACATCTGGAGGGCTGAGTTTGCCTATGCCTGCATTAGACCCATTGGAATTAATGAACATTATGAAGTTAGGTCCATTCATTTCTGTGAGTCTACTCTGTGTAAAACGTAGTTGAATATTTACCTAACCAATTGTTTTTAAGTGCATTGACTTTGGGCCTGCTTGACCTCAAGGGTCTTACTCAGTGTCTAGGAGACAAAACCTATTCAAATAAACAGATTTCCTGGTTCACACATTATCTTCTCATTGTGGTGAGAGAATGAGACTGAAACTTGCTTCTGCTCCCAGCTTGAATAGAATTCAGGGCCAAATATTGTCCGAACAAGCCCTTTGTCAATTCCAGGTATGTTAGTGTTGAAGTTAATAAGGCCACTCTTACTGCCTGGCTGTAGAAATGTGATAGAATAGAGTTAGCTAGTCATAGATTAAACATTAAGATTATTACCTTTTCAAAAAGATTTAAGCAACCCAAAGGCTGGATCTAAGTGTGAGGAACATGTTGGCTGTGACAGTTAAATAAATTTAGAGTGCAATCCTATGACTCTTTACTCAGAAGTAACTGTCTTCAGCAGGGCTTACCTGCTATTAAGTGTGCTTCTCAAACTAAAATATTTAGCTGTTTTAGTATATGAATGTCAAAATCCTTGCATGGTGTATTTTGAGTTTTGTCCTGTATGTTTTGGATAAATGTGTACAATTCTGAAATGTTTTCCAGTTACTAATGCAGTTGTGCTACTGCTTCTCAGTTATCACAGAGCCAGTTTAAAGCTGGACCTATGGCATGCAATATAATAGCTCATGCACAGTCCATATAGACAGTAAAAGGTCTCTGTCATATGATAAGGTCACCATCATTAATTTTCAAATTATAAGGAGAGACTTGCCAGTTTGTGATGGTCATTATTGCAATATTATGTGTTGTGGATCCTGCCTGCACATAGGCTGAACTGTGATCTTAATTAGAACTTTGACAAGCCCTCTCTGATAAAATGATGAGATTATTCGTAATTGATGTCACAATCAATTACCATTTAGTTCATCACAAGCTTACTAACAGGTCTAGCCTTAGTGCTGGCCCCAGGATGTTGATGAGTGTGTGGCTGCCCTGTTCATGCTGTTACTGCGACAGCAGGGCAGATTTTCAGTCAACATCCTAATGACCTCTTTTGAAGTCTATTAAATTAATGACCCTGTCACATTGGCCTAACCTCTTACATCTTCATTTGGAAGGTTTTTTTGTGTTACAAACTAGTGTTTTTGGAGCACGTGAAAGAACAGATACTTCGGGGGGGGGGTCTCTCTCCCATATCTATGTCTGTTTTAAAGAAGTGTAACATTATTAATTCATTGCATGTGTGTGCTGAAGGATAAAATTAGATTGTATTGGTGGGAAAAAATTGTATTTTCTTTCCACTATATATTTGTTATTTAATTTTGATCTTTCTCAGGTACCTAAAGGACATGTTTGGTTAGAAGGTGATAATCTCAGGAATTCTACAGATTCCAGGTGTTACGGTCCTGTTCCATATGGGTTGATAAAAGGACGCATTTGCTTGAAGGTATACTCCTGCAATCTAAAATGTGTTAATTTGACAGTTTTTATAAGTCTTGAGGCCCTGAACTACCACGATGAGACATTTTCATTATCTAGTGAAGCACAGGGACCAGGGTGTTAAAATGTTATAGGAGAGCATGATCTCCTCAAATGACTACTGCATTTAAAGATGCATAAAGCATTAGCCAACCGAGTCTGAAACCCACCCATGTAACAACAATGCAAACATAAAATCTGTTTTACTTTAAGTTGCTGTGCCCCTTTTTATGGGCGGTATATGGAAATGTAACATTAGAAAGGAGTTACGTTTCTGTTCTCCAGGCTCTTCTCAAAACACATCGAATATATAAGAAATGTTCTATGCTGCTCAAAATATTGACTTGGACCCAACAAGCAATGCACAAAATGGGGTGTTCCAAGCTCTATGTGGCAGATCCTCCTGAAAAATTGGAACCAGTTGTCAGGGGACCTTACAGAACTGCATGTGGCAGGTGTAAGTGGAATGCCTTTCCACTTCCACAAGCAGACACTTGCATGACTCCCAATACAGATCCTTGATGGATCCCACTGCTTTTAATCGTCCATTTATTCCTCTCTTCCCAACTTCTCTTAACCCAGTTATTGATTCATAAGAGGACCCGCACTCTAATTTCTTGCCAGCTAACTTGACTCAGCATCCCTAGATGAAAGACTTTAATGTTCCTGGATATTTTTTTTAAAAAAACAACCTTTTATCTACTGGATCAATATTTACATGCTGCCCAGTCTTAAAATATTCTAAGCATAGTTTGTTCTTCTATTTACTTAATAACTCTTATCTTTAAAAAACGCTTTCCATCAGTTACCTAGATAAGCTAGGTGAACATGTTTTGAATTTGTGTTAGATCCCCTTTTTTAAAAATGGTGTTATGCTGGCAATCCTCTAAAGCTCCTATAAGAAGACAAATCTTAGGGAGGTTTAGAATTAGCCCTACCGTTAAAGTAGGCACCTGACTTGGGTGTCATGAAAAGCTAGTAATATATTGCTATTTTATTTCTACGCTAGAGTCACTTGTGGTGTTTTTTGCCTTAACTACCAAACAAAACTTTGGACTTGAATAATTTTAGAGGAGGAGCCCCATTTAGTGCTTTGCTTCAGGAAGTAAAATGTATTGGGTTGGCCTTCATAGTACTGTATTGCATATTTTTGTTGGAAGCGCAGCAGCTTTCGAGTTCCTTAACAACTCATGAGTATATTACTATCTGGATCATCAAGTTGTTGTTGTTTTGTTGTTATTTATTAAATTTGTATGCCGCCCTATACCCACAGGTCTCAGGCAGTTCACAGGATAAAATCATGATATAAAAACACAAAACACATAATCAAAATATAAACAAAAACAGATCCCAACACATTTTAAAAGGACATTGGATGTGAATCAGCCCAAGTCCTGGTTAAAGAGGAACTTTTTGCCTGGCGCCTAAAGGTGTACAGTGAAGGCGCCAGGTGAACTTCCCTGGGGAGAGCATTCCACAGACAGGGAGCCACTGCAGAGAAGGCCCATTCTCATGTTGCCACTCTCCAGATCTCTCGTGCAGGCAGCACATGAAGTAGGGCCTCAGAAGATGATCTCAGGGTCTGGGTAGGTTCATATGGAAATAGGTGGTCCTTGAGGTATTGCGGTCCTGAGCCGTTTAAAGCTTTATAGGTCAAAACCTTTTCAACTGCATTTTGTTAGTTAGCATCTCTAGTTACCTCTATTTGACTAAATTCCTGCCTCAGCCACACCTCATAGAATCATAGAATCATAGAGTTGGAAGAGACCACAAGGGCCATCGAGTCCAACCCCCTGCCAAGCAGGAAACACCATCAGAGCACTCCTGACATATGGTTGTCAAGCCTCTGCTTAAAGACCTCCAAAGAAGGAGACTCCACCACACTCCTTGGCAGCAAATTCCACTGTCGAACAGCTCTTACTGTCAGGAAGTTCTTCCTAATGTTTAGGTGGAATCTTCTTTCTTGTAGTTTGGATCCATTGCTCCGTGTCCGCTTCTCTGGAGCAGCAGAAAACAACCTTTGTGACATCCTTTTATATATTTGAACATGGCTATCATATCACCCCTTAACCTCCTCTTCTTCAGGCTAAACATGCCCAGCTCCCTTAGCCGTTCCTCATAAGGCATCGTTTCCAGGCCTTTGACCATTTTGGTTGCCCTCCTCTGGACACGTTCCAGTTTGTCAGTGTCCTTCTTGAACTGTGGTGCCCAGAACTGGACACAGTACTCCAGGTGAGGTCTGACCAGAGCAGAATACAGTGGCACTATTACTTCCCTTGATCTAGATGCTATACTCCTATTGATGCAGCCCAGAATTGCATTGGCTTTTTTAGCTGCCGCGTCACCTCAACTAACTGTTGGAGGTAGAATACCTGGCTTTCAGAGGAATGCCTATGACCTAAGCCAGGCTTCCTCAAACTCGGCCCTCCAGATGTTTTTGGCCTACAACTCGCATGATCCCTAGCTAGCAGGACCAGTGGTCAAGGATGATGGGAATTGTAGTCTCAAAACATCTGGAGGGCCGAGTTTGAGGAAGCCTGACCTAAGCACATCACTTGCAACATAGGCCAATCACATCTGATACTAATGAAAATTATTCAAAGCCAACTCCTCCAACCTGGATTGGTGAGACAGAAGTCATAACTCAGTGCATCTATAATGCAGTTTCCTTGCTTCTGGTACTACGTGACCATCTTTAAATGGGGGGAAAATCTCTTCCATATCGCAATAGTTATAAGGACCAAAGTTATGGATATACATATTGGTAAAATTCTGCTTTCAGCAGTCACAGTTTATTCCTCTTTAACACTTGAACTGAGAAAAGGGTGAAATAAGAGACAAGGAAGAAGCAGAAGAAGAAAAAAGATGGCTGCTCTATATCTTAAGTAATTTATTCATTTTATTTTTACAGCTCTGGCCTCCGACTGATTTTGGATTCCTACGTGCAAGTCCCAACAGTCACAGAATTTGGAATGACTAAGTGACTTAGGCAGTGTCATCTATGCTGACTTCTTTACTAATTTTTAAAAGGCTAGTAATGTATTTTGATATAAAATAAACAAGAACATCAAGACGTTCCTTGTAGATGTAAGGGTCGTGATACTGGGAAATAATGTTGCTTCAGATATATAACAATTTCCATTTATCCCATTTATAAATCCTTCTGACAGTCTTACGGAGTTCTGCCTTCTTTCATTATGGTTCTCATAACATGCAAGTGTTTCCCCTCAGAACCACACATATAGGAACCAGTAGGAGTCCTGAAGCCAAGGGTTTCCTACAGTTTTAAACAGACGGTTCTTAAGTAACATGGCATATACTAGAAAGTTTATCAGATTTTTCTAAAAAGGGCAGTACAATTTCACAAGTGTAACATTTTTCAAAAGCTGGGAATAAGCAAGTGCCAGCCTATTAGGAACTTCTTTGCAAGTGCTCTTTAAAGAGTGGGATTAGTGTGCTCTGGGGGCTGGATTGAACTAATCCACCACACTAGCAAGAAGCTAGCACAAGCACTCCTAGCAGAGCATGGCTTTCCCCTTCTCTTTCCTCTGTGCACCCCACACCACCCCCAAGTCTACTCTGGAGGGCTGAGAGAACCCCCAAAACGGCACCTAGGGGGAGGAGATGGGGGATTGTTCCATATGTCAAACAGAAATGCTTCCGTAAGTTGTGAGTCGACTGTACTGGATTGGTTTTGAAATGGCAGCGTGTATGCTTTCAGAAGCCCACTTTTCAGTTTAAGATCAGTATTCCAAGTCCTGTTCATCTTGGGTACAGGATGCATTATCCTCAGAAAGGAGTAATCATGATACCAGAATAGGAGGATAACATTAAATGGTGCTCACTCGTGCAAGCAGAAGAAATGTAGTGTTTAAATCTCATACACTAAGATATGGACAATTCAAATTAAAAGACATTTGGAGCATAATTTGCATGGATTTTAAAAAGGAATCTCTGATGCAGAAAGAAAACTTGTTTGTACTGATGTTCTTAACAGTTATTGTGCATTTTTCTACTATGGTATTTACTGACATATTGTCCATTAGTTGCCTAACACAATACATCTTTTGTGTTTCCCATATCCTTTGTGGAGTCATCGAAGAATCTCTATAAGTAATGAACAAGTATCACAGCATACTAGTGAAACCTCTTCAGCTTCTTTTTGGGAGACAGTGTATTTTCCACCACATCGACATATGAGAGAATAACAGTGATCATCTGTTGAAACAATACACAGAAACAGTAATGAGTTCCATTGCAGTTTTGAATGCTACCCCAAAGCTACTTACAAAGTGTGTATGTCAGCTTACATCCCAAGAGTTACCATGAATGTATAGTAAACTATTTTTGCAACTGAATTACATTGTCGTAGGAAATGCTTAATATGAAAAATTCTTCCATGTGGTAGGATTTTAATAAGAATGTTAAATTATACTTTTACCAAAAAAAAAGGCAAGACAAACCCTTATTACTGGACTAGTTCTTAAAAGCTGCAATATCTAAATAGTTTCTTACAATGCTGAGAACTACTGAAATTTAATGGACCTAACTCAGTCATGCTCATTATTTTCAATGGGCCTACTCTGAGTATGTTATATATAATGTTCTATATTTGTATGTCATTCTGTTGTATTTTTAAAATTATCGTGGAACAGCTTTGCTGACCCAGGTCAGAAGAGGGATGAGATTTAAGTTTCCTCGCAAATCTCTGTAGGAGCTTCAGAGAAGAAAACCATAGTAAAACAGTTGTATATGTAGGCTTCAATGCATTAATGACTTAACCATTATTTTCAGTTGTCTTCTTGCATCTGCTTGCATGATTACAACCCCTTCAGCATTCAGCAAAAAGCAGCTCCTCTAAATTTCATACTACTAACCAAAAAAATTGCCTAGCAACTAAAACTTCACACCAAGCCATGCATATGCAAGGCTATGTGTCATTAGAAAATGTCATTGAAAACTAAATGCCTAGTATCGTAATGCATTTCTGTAAGTTTATGATGTATGTGGTACAATGGAGGCTTCCTTATCACAAAAGCACCATCAGAAACAGGCAATCAAAATAATGAAGGGAAACTTCTGGATTTTTAGGTTTAGAAAAAGACAACTGAAGGTTGTATGGCAGTGGTTTTTTAAACTGAATGAGAGAAACATTCCTCCTCTCCTAACCCTAGAACTAAGGGTTACTGAATGAAACTGATTGCCATAAGATTCAGGACAGAAATACTTCACACAATACATATGGAATTACTGCCATAAGGTATGAGAACCATTGGCATCTATACCTTTAAAAGGGGCTTAGACAATATCATGGTTGATATGGCTGATACCCACTGATTGATCAATTGAACCTCCAGGGACAAAGACTGTCTCTGAATACCCGTTCTCAAGGATGCAGCCAGCAGTGAAGGACTGTTGTCTTCATGCCCTGCTTCTGGGCTTCTCCACAGCACATGGCTGACCGCTCTTGGAAACAGGTTAGACTAGATCAGTGCTTCTCAACCTGTGGTTCCCCAGATGTTGTTGGACTACAACTCCCATCATCCCTGAGCTCTGGCCTTGCTAGCTAGGGGTGATGGGAGTTGTAGTTCAACAATATCTGGGGACCCATAGGTGGAGAAAGGATGGACTAGATGGATTCTTGGCCCGTTAGCAGACTCTTCTTATTCCTACATTAACTATTCAGTTTACTTATCAACCAGTTTCACATGGTATCTTACTGAGATTCCAGGCCATATCTTCAAGTGACACCTGAGCATCCACAGGCCATCCTTGGGTTAATTCATGTTCTGAGAAAATAAAACAGGCATTCAGTTTGAATAGAATGTGAGACAGAGGCTGCAAGTTCATAGTCATATAAACTTTATTATATTTGTTGCTTTTCACACAGAGAGAAGTCCAAAACAACTTACAGCATAAAGTTAATTCAAACCTTGTATAAAACAATAATAAAACACAGTGCCTAAATACGTTCATTCAAGAACATTTATAAAAGGACATATTAAAGCCTATGTGCTTCACTATTGGAAAGAACTGGTAAGCAGGCAAATCTCAAAAGTTGACTCCACCTCACTTCTTACAATAAATGAATGGAAGCAAGAGAGGACAGGAAAGACTTAAGCTCTTGCTTGGTAGGAAAAATGTCTTCATTGGGCAGGACAGTAATTACAGAGTGCCCAAACGTTTTTAATATTTAAGTTACATCAGGGTTTGGGGTGGTTACTTGAGTCAAAAGTGTTAAAGCTTTCTTAAGGAATGGAACAAGGCCCTTTCAGCTTTCATCTGCTTCTCTACACACTCATGTCCTTGATCATCAACAGGAAGTCACAAGTTCAAGCTCCTTGTGTTTTGTGCCTGCCTGATTTTAATTTTGAGCCAAACACAGAGCAGCAAACGTTTATATTCATTACACTGTACATGGCTGTACTGACAAATGCTGTGTAGAGCACCCTAGGATTTCAGTCTAAAAAAGATCAGGCAGCAGGTGATGAGAACATTTCTGCTCATGACAATTCGAGTGGTATAAGATAGCTTCCTATGTGCCTTTCAAATGTAAGAACGCCAGGGCTAGAAGCAAACATGCGGGTGGGGGGGCATCAAAATGCACTAGAAATTCCTGTATAAGTTCTCTCCACAGGGCATAGTCAGTAATTTATGGTTGAGAATGTTGCTTCTTCTAACACAGCTTAATATCCAACCATTCATAAGATCTGACCACTACATATAGATATTGAGAATTAAGTTTGCACCAACATATCCAAGGATGAATGAATGAACTTTATTACGGTCACAGACCAGGATTAAGAAAAGCATATAGATAAAATAGCAGTTGGGATTTTTGACCGATAATTGTTAGGGCAAATGAGGACAAGGAAACAGACATTAAAACATCTGAATAAAATACAAGATTAAACACAGATAATGGATGGATAAAAAACTAATAATTAAAACAGATAAGAGCTAAAAACCAACAAAGTCAGGCAGTTAAAACAACTGTAAGAGCATAAGAACTAAAAGACTCGCAGATAAAACAACTATAAGAGGCTGCAGAGTAGAAGCCTCTTAAATAGAGGACACTCACAACGTTAAAAACTGCTATGCAAATATGGTTAAAAAAGACAATTAAAACAATATACAACACTAAATTTAGAAACAATGTACAACAATAAACTGTCCCAGGGAGTTGACTCAGAATCACCCATGGAACCGTGTCTGGGGCTTTCCATGCCGGACTATTTTGAGTTGGGCGATGGTCTGCGCTTACAGATCTGTAGACAGAATCTGGCGACAATCCAGGTCATCTTCTGATCTTTGCCCAACAGCAAAAGGTCAAATTTTTGCTTTTGCGGGAGGTCGGCGAGCCTCACCAGTAGGGGATCCATGATCTTACTATGTGCCTCTTTATAAAAGGGACATCTAAAGAACAAGTGTTCTGGGCTTCCTATCTTTCCCAATGGACAGGTGCAAAGTCTCTGAGCATACGGGACCCTTCTAAAGGCTCCATCCAGGACCGGTGAGGGAAGAGCTGAGAATGAATTTCAATTAAGCCTCAATTTTTCCTCCTGAAAACGTGGTTGCACACCCCTTCTGGACCCTAGTAAAATGTACTCGTCCCACCCTCCATGTTTGGCTCCTAGGTCAATAAGTTTCATTTATTTATTTTTCTGAAACACCAGGTTCCATGGTAGATATATTGATTGGGAACTCTCGGGTTCTGTGCAAGATGTATAATTCCTCAAGCTCTCAAATTTGAAATCCACCGATCTAGTCCTATACCCAGTGCCCAGTATGAAGCACATTAGCTACTTTTCCCCCTTTGCAAACCTGAATATAGATGCCTCTGTTATGAGAGAACTACAATACATGTACCTCTATACACTCTATAATTATTTTCAAACACAAGCAATTGGTATATGCTGTATTTTTCGCTCTATAAGATGCACCCGACCATAAGACACACCTAGTTTTTAGAGGAGGAAAACAAAAAAAATATTCTGAATCAAATGTTGTACTAAACTATTTAATAAACAACCGTATATCAGAATCATATTATAACCATGTAAAGTGAACAGCAGTCAACAGTGGCATTAAGAACCACCATCACTGTCATTAACAAATGAAGAGAGACTAAGGTTCGAGCACTCTTCTAGTCTTCTGTAAACTCCAATAATTCATCAGTGCTAGAGTCAGAATTTATGAAGCTCAGTTGCTCACAATCACAGAAATCACTTTCTTCGCTATCTTCATATAAAATACCATCTTCATTTCCATCCAAAGCATTGCTAATGCCACATTTTTTGAATGACCGGACAACAATTTCCTCCTTCACCGAGTGCCATGATGTTTTCACCCATTCACAAACTTGTGTGATAGTGGGCCTCCTCATTTGTCCAGTAGGTGTCAGATCATGATTACCAGCAGCCATCCATTTGTTCCACTCTTCTTGCATAAAGACCTTAAATGGCTTGTTGATGGAAACGTCGAGAGGTTGCAACTGGCTGGTAAGACCTCCAGGAATTACAGCTAGATGAGTCTTCACTTCTTTAAAGCACTTTTTTGTAGTTTCGCTAATATGTGCTCTAAACTGGTCAAGAACTAATAAGGCAGGTTTTTTCAAAAGCCCTCCAGGACGTTTGGACCACACTTGTTCAACCCATACTCTCATTCCATTTTCGTCCATCCATCCTTTCTCATGAACATGTACAACAATTCCACTTGGAATCACTTCTTTTGGAAATGTTTTCCTTTTGAAAATTAACATGGGTGGCAATTTGGTGCCATCTGCACAGCAAGACAACACAACCGTGTAATGGGTTTTCTCATGTCTGGAGGTTTTCATGGTGATAGTCTGGGCACCTTTCAGATCAACAGTCCTATAAGATGGCACATCAAAGGTTAGCGGGACTTTATCCATATTCCCAATCTGGCCAATTTCAAACCCATTTCTCTTCCTAGCATCAATTACAAATTTATGAAAAGACAGAATCTTAGATTCATATTCTTTTGGCATTTTTTGTGCAATTCTAGTTTTGGTGCGCATAGCAAGGCCACATCGCCTCATAAATCTGTAGCACCATGATGGTGATCCAGTAAAATCGTGAATGCCTTTCTCTACAGCAATGCGTTTGGCTTCATATATTATCATTTTTGTAGAGACTGTGAAGCCATTATTCCGGTGATTTGTGATCCATTCTTTCATGGCCACATCCAACTGTGGCCACTTTGCAGCATTTCCACGAAAAGTGTGCTTGCTTTTATCTGCTTTTTGCAGCTGATCCTCCTGTTTCCTCCAATCTCTTATCATTTTTTCAGTTGGTGGTGGCCCAAAATGTCTCTCCGCTGCTCTGTTTCCATGTTCCTTAGCATATTTTACTACCTCTAGTTTAAAGGGAATCTTATACGCCAGTCTTTTCTGCTTTATCATCCTTATCAGAATGGGGGAGGTTTTCTGCAAGAAAATACAGTGATGAAGGAACTGTCAGTAATGTATGGTATCTCCAATGTTTACCACTGAGCGCTGACCATACCTTTAAAGAATGGCATCATAGTAAACATAGCCAACCTACAGTCTGTAAAAAACAACAACCCGGTATAACCCTAAAATTTTACTGATATTATAGCATATGCATCATTTTGCTTTCTTGAGTTGTCCTAGGTATAGCAGCCAACTCCTAGAGGCCTAGGTGCCTTCACTCCCCCCCATTTAATATTTGAGGGAGTCGTCCCCCCCCATGTTGATGGGCATTGCCATTCATATAGTGTGCATGCACTTTGTCTTGAGATCGCAGTTCTCAACCTGCGGGTCCCCAGATGTTGTTGGACTACAACTCCCATCATCCCTTGACTCCTATCTTCCCTGAGCTCTGGCCTTGCTACCTAGGGGCGATGGGAGTTGTAGTTCAACAACATCTGGGGACCCACAGGTTGAGAAAGGCTGAATTGCGGTATGTGAGGTGGGGCTTACCTGCCCCCCCAATATTTTATTCAAGTTGGAAGAGGGAGGGAGGGAAGGAAGGAAGGCAGGAAGGGAGAGGGAGAGCTCACATCTGTGCATGCCTGTGGCGGGCAGCTGCCTTGCCTCACCAGAATCAGAGCAAAAAGAGGAGGAGATGCTGGGGCAGGAGCCGTGTAAGTGGCTCTCCCTTTGCTCCTCCCACCTCGCTGTAAAGCCAGCAAGAGCCGCAGCCACGCTCTGCGCGGCTCTTGCTTTAAAGGCAGAGCTGCGCAGAGCGTGTCAGTGGCAGCGGCTCTTGCTGGCTTTGCTCCATAAGACGCACAGACATTTCCCCTTACTTTTTAGGAGGAAAAAAGTGTGTCTTATGGAGCGAAAAATACGGTATATACATGTGGCAGTATCCAAGATTGGCACACTTTTAGCTGCAACTCCCTACTATTTAAAAATTGCTGCCTCAAGACTAATGAAGAATGGGCTTCTTTCAGAAGTATGAACCATAGTTCACCTGTCATGTTTGTCCATATCCCCACGTGTCTTAAGTAGTAGGTATATTTCTGATCATATACAACTTCTGTATACAGTGGTACCTTGGGTTAAGAACTTAATTTGTTCTGGAGGTCCGTTCTTAACCTGAAACTGTTCTTAACCTGAGGTACCACTTTAGCTAATGGGGCTCCCTGCTGCCGCCGCCATCCGATTTCTGTTCTCATCCTGAAGCAAAGTTCTTAACCCGAGGTACTATTTCTGGGTTAGTGGAGTTGTAACCTGAAGCATCTGTAACCCGAGGTACCACTGTATATTGATCTATTCTCTCCAAGCTTTTTGCCTTTACCCTTTACAGATTAATAAACAAAGCTAGGAGAAAATAGTAACAGCTAGGTCTGATGTCATATAGTAGACACAGTGTAACAGGGTGGTAAGCGATTTATCAGATTTATCAGTTAACAGCTTCAGCCCCTACTGGATCAAGTACACCGGGCATAGGCAAACTCTGCCCTCCAGATGTTTTGGGACTACAACTCCCAACATCCCTAGCTAACAGGACCAGTGGTCAGGGATGGTGGGAATTGTAGTCCCAAAACATCTGGAGGGCAGAGTTTGCCTTTGCCTGAACTACACTCTAGCAAAATGATGTAAACTTGGAAAGAAACAAAATAACGGAACAGTTTGTTCCATTTGCCTTGCTTAGGATACCACTATACAGCTAGTTCTGTGCATGGTCACAGCTATGCATACTTTGGAATACTAGAGTTCCTTATTTTCCCCAACACTTTTTTTAAAAATGGGGAATTTGCACCAGTCCAATGGTCACAATCTCTCATAGTCAGTCTTGGGGCTGTATGGTAGTGGTGGCCAGGGCCAAAGCCAAAAGTGGCTAATGCAACACATGTGGCTACTTTCCATGTACAGTAAGCTAAATCCCTGCCATGCAAGTCAGATTTCTGCACACACAGCTATCCGTTCAAGCAAGCAAGAGGCAGTATCTCAGTTCATTGACATATTCCAGGTAAGCAAAGGCACTCAATGAGGGTACAGATCAAGGATGGTGAGGGGCATGGCCTAGGATGATAGAAAGACCTGGAGGACCTCATTTGACCCATGGAAGGGATGCTACCCACCCTTGATTTAGAGTTAATATAGATACTTAAAATCACATTGGTGCTATATAATATTTTGATCACAGTTGTGCTTTGGTATACAATGTTCTATGAGCAAATGAATACTAATTCACGATACCCAGTTTATCATCTCAGATTACTGGTTACAGAGAATACTGGAAAGGAGCTAAGTCAAACCTAAAATGAATGCCAATCTGTGAAGAAAGCAGCTCTCAACTAGTAATCTGAATTTGATAGTACCATGCTAAACTGCAAAAACGTAGGGACTCATACTGTAACTTGGCAATTGTGGTCCACATTCTGTCAGGAGTAGTATGCATGCATTTGTTACAAACTGTTTTAGAACAAAGGTTATCCTGATGTTCCTCATTTTGGTGCAACCAGTCTGCTACCATAGTAGTTAACTATGAATAATGTATTGGTAGTGAAATTAAACACTTATTTTAACTGCCCTCATGTATTGGTGAAAAAATCTAATTAGCACTTTAATATTAAAGCATGATTCCCCCCCCCCCATGCAATTCATTAATTAGCGGCCGATTATCCAGTATCAAGTTGGCCTGTGGTCTCTGCCTCCTTTTTGCAACATTAAATTGTGATTCTAATTTTACCTGAAATCTACACTATAGATCTCCAGGGAATGAGTTTCATCTAAATTAATCTTAATGAAGGCAATTAAAACAAATCAGACAAGTTAGATATAATTACTGGATCAATAAAACCTCTTTGACCTAACCTATTCTGAACACCTCCAGTACATTAAAGAGATATATATTAAAACAAAGTTAACCCACTTACATCTAAGACTGAAATAGTAATAAATGAGAATGAGGGGGGAGGAAGCTTTATCTTCTCTTATCAACTTAATCCATCTTGGCAATTATGCTGATGCTCCAAATCACTAGAAGAAATGCTACAGTAGATGGAACCAGTCAAAAATACTAATAAGAGTTTTCCATCTTCAGTTCCTTCTATCTTTTCTATCTAATTCCATGGATTACACACTCTGTTGTTCTTTGCCAATATATATGTAATAAGACTTAGATTTATTTTAATGTCACTTATGGAATTTGGGCAATAATGTATCACAACTGAACCAACCACTGTATATTCCAGGAAATTTGAAGTCTATCACTCATAGACCATAGCAAAGCCTTGTTCTATCTCCAACACAACTCAAATCTGTGTGCTTGAGGACTCAGTATGCCAGGCTGTTACAATGGATGAGAGACCTTTGAGAACCTCCCATATGTCCTTTCTGCCTTCTCTTTGCAGGAGAAGTTGGAGAACAAGAACAAAGCTATGGAAATCCACAGAATGTAAAAAGTGGATCCATATGAACATTTACCAAGGGTTCACCATATGCATGTTACCACTTGGATGGCACTGGTGAAGCTGTGTAGTAAATTGGTAATCTGTACAATGGGTTATACAGTGGTACCTCGGGTTACAGGTGCTTCAGGTTACAGACTCCACTAACCCAGAAATAGTACCTCAGGTTAAGAACTTTGCTTCAGGGTGAGAACAGAAATCGTGCGGCAGTGCGGTGGCAGCAGGAGGCCCCATTAGCTAAAGTGGTGCTTCAGGTTAAGAATGTTTCAGGTTAAGAACGGACCTCCAGAACGAATTAAGTTCTTAACCCAAGGTACCACTGTATCTAAAAATTTCTATTTCTAAATAAATATTGATTTTATATTGTGTGTCCTTAGATGTCTCTCTGAATTTTAAGTAATACTACATAGTGAGTGGATATGCAGTTCTTTACTGATTCAGTGAGGAGGGCGCATCAGACGCTGCTAAAAGGGAAGCCCCCCTGTGTTTTATCAGGGTTGAGTGCTAAAATTATGGGGGATGGATGGACTCCATTTTAGCAGGAGACTCTGGTATAATCAGGTTTGCATGGAATCCTGCTGACCTGAGCACAATTTAAGTCCTATTCATCAGTAGATGAGCAAGGTTGAACTCTGCTCACTTGGGATGCACACTTCTGTTCGTAGCTGGGGACAGGTACACATAGCCAACACAGGATTTAACCCCACCCTTATGTCTGTCAGATGATGGACATGAAGGAAAAGGGCCTCACAAGTCAACCTGTACCTGTTGCAGACCAAAGTTGGCCCATGGACCGGAGGTTCTTCATTGCATGTCTTACAAGCCGAAAATTCAAGACAATTAAAGGGATGCTGGGAATCTTTTAAACAGCATTACATAACTATTAGAAGCACACTTCAGTAACACTTTGCCAGAAAGTCTAGCTCAGTATTGTCTACACTGACTGACAGCAGTTGGTTCTCCAGGGTTTCAGTCAGGGGTCTTTTCCCTCCCCAAAGCCTTGCTCCAGAAGGTGGGGCAGGGGGAAGGAAGAACAGCCCCTGTTAAGCAAAACTAAAAGCCATACAAGAAGAGGAAGAGGGGGGTAGATGCTTGCTGTAATTTGTTGATGTTGTGCTAATATATAGTTTGAGTATGATATACATGTTTATGAACACTGTAGGGCCACGAATACACTGCTACCATTCAGGCTGAACCTTGCCTGAAACCCACTAAACTGTCCTGGTAGGGCAGGGGGAGCTTATAAGTCCTAATGGCAAGAACCCTTCCCTTAAGTCAGCTCTAGAAATAATAATAAAAATTGAGCAGCTTCAGATTTACTTTCTTATTCTAGCACCTGAGAAAGATTCATGAGATGCTGTTTGATCAATACATATATTTCACAGCACTGCAAAATCACACCATTTAGACCGGAAGATCAGAATAAATTCATTTTTATGTTCTTCTTCGGACTTTTCCTCACAATAATTTATATTAGATTATATTCAGTTATATATAGTCAACTGATGATTTGCAATTTTAAAACTTTATATGGTTTTATTGTGTGTATATAATAGGTGTAAACTGCTTTGGTTTTTATAATGAAATTGTAGTAGACAATAAAAATAATTTAAACAAACAAACAAATAAAATGGCCAATTCTCAGTTCACGATTCTATCACAATTCAGAGGGGCTTGTTTAGGAATGGTTGTGTTATAACACTGCAATCAGAGTTAATATTCTTGAGCATTTGGTTGTCATTTTTAAATTATCATAATAATAAAACAGGTTGAGATCTTTGTTATTGTGTGTAAATATTAGGGGCTGTCGCCCCTGCTCAACATCCCTCCCTACCTGCCACCCTCACCAACTCCCCAACGCCCTCCACTTACACCCTGCCCAACCCCTCACAGCTTCTTTAATCCCCCACCCCCTTCTACCCTCTCATCCCTCAACAACTCCTTCAACCCCAGCCCTTCAATACCTCCATCTCAGCGTACAACTCCCCGCTTGCCAACCCCATCCTCTCTGTTAGCTCAAAGTTCTCCTTTACCCACTGTTCACCCAACCCCCTCAACAACCAGTGCTTTTCTATTAGAAAAATAAGAAGTCTGGAAATCCTCTCATCTTCCCCATCTTGGAAACAAAGAGCGATGTGTGGAATCCTTCCCAGAATCTTCCAAAGGCTTCCAAAACCCAGCACAATTGCAAGTGCAGTCCCAATTCTGCCTGCTAGCTTCAAGCTGAAGGGAGGGTGGGGGTGAGCAAATGGCTTTCAGGCACTGTGCCAGAAGCACAGAGACAAATCCAATCCCAGACTTCCTACCAACTGAGGAGCTAAGGAGGGAGTAGTGATAATCTCAAACATGGGAAGCTGTTCTATAAATATTGGTAGACTGACTAGCAATGGATCTCCAGGTTTTCAACACAATTTTTTTGCCCAGACCTTCCTTGAGATATGATGGGAATTGAAATTTTTGCACAGAAAGCGTGTTTTATTGTGGAGTTCCAGCTCTTCCCCATTGTGAGTGCCTCTGAAGTGCTGCTGTGGGGGCAATTCTCATCCAACCTCTCCAACTCTGAGAGAAAGCCTGAGGCTTGTCAAACCTGGCAGAACTCACCATAATGCTGTTTGAGAAAGCTAGTCTCTCTTATAGCAGTGCCCACTGCTGCACCCTAAGTCATCCACCCACTCCTAATTTGGGCAGTTGTTCTCAACTATGGCACTATCAGGCAGATTTGTCAATAAGCTTCCCATTTTCAGTAATCACTTTAACAGTAGCAAGTATTGTTTTGGAAGAACAGGACCATAAATGCCCAATAGATCCCAATGGATTTAAAGGGATTTAAAATAGGTTGCTTTCCTTTAAATCAATTCCTTTCAATAAAATTGTTTTGGTATACTGCAACAACACATCAACTTTAGTTAAAACCAAAAGTTGTGTATTATATGAATCCTTGCTGACACTCCACCGATTGCAACGGAAGTTACACAGCCACTGCAACTGCCCAATCTCTCTTTTCCAAGTCCCTTCAAGCCTCCACTAGAAAAACAAAGGTTGCACAGAATCAATGCCTGTAGATTTCAATCACAGCAAATTCCACACGTTTTGCTTATCTGAATGGGTAACAGCACGAAACATTAAAAAAAGCAAATCTGAAAAAGCTTCACAACCTCAAAAATTAAAATACGCATTAACTGTCATTTTCTGTGCATTACTTGTAAGGACATAAAGCTTAATTGACTGGACTGACTTCTATGCTAGAGTGTATATCTCAAAGTCTAACTACAAAATGGACAGAGCATAAACAAATACATTTCTGCCAATTTTTACACAAGGGAAATTTCTTAACCCCAGCTCCAAGTTAGTCTCTCTCCCTCTCTCTCTTGGCAAAACCAGCTGCTCTTTCTATTAAGCTACAAGCAAAAAAAAACTAGTTCAAAAATAATTTTGCTCATTTCAGTTTAACATCTAACACCCCAAATAGCACATTTTGAAAAAAGAGAGAACTATAGACACCAAATAATTCATGATTAAAAAAATAAGCTTGGATACGCTGTATATTATTCCGTTGATTATGTGTATCTGCCAGCCACGCTGACTAAGCTTTTGTTTCTCAAATAAAATTGTGGCAACCTTAACAGCAGGGAACTTAAAACAGCAAGAGAGAGAAAGGTTTGATGGTGTGCCAGCGTACAATGGAAGGGAATTCAATAACATGCTGCAGAGACAGTGAGCTTTTATCAGACACACTGAAAAGTGGTGGTAGCTACACGTCAATGCTGGACCAGAGTGTGTTACCGCAGAGTGCGACTGAGTGTTTTCCCCACAGGCAATACACTATTATTGACTCCCCCCATTAACATGTAGGGTGGATATACATTTATTGAAGGTTCTAATGGAAGGCTGAGGGACTCCTATCCTGAGGCCAGAGCAGAAAGACAGCCTATCACTTCATGTAATGGTAGCCCATGTGTGACAGACCTGACCTACATTTCCCCCTTTCTTTCTCACAACAGCCTGTCACTGTTTTAAGATGCTATTTTCCCCAAGATGTACATATATATGTGTGTGTGCGCGCGTGCTGGAACTGCCTGGTTAATGCATTTAACTGGAATATAACTTGCTTCCTTAGACGTTTATACCAGGGATGCATTATGACAAATATTCTGAAATATGCTCGATTCCTAAAGACTGGTAGAAAGGATACACTTTAATGACTGTGAAGTTTTTATAAATATGCGGCAGTATACCTTTGACACAGATTACTCAAAACCTGTATCTAAAATGCAGCAACAGAATGTAGCAAAGGGCATAACTTAAGTAATTAAGAACATTTAACGAAACTGCTTTAAATACTGTCAAATGAGAAATGGCTAAACTAAGTCATTATTATCATCCAAGTTCTACATTCATTAGAATTAGTATAACAGCTACCACCTAATGCTTTGTCAAAAGTAATTTAATGTTTTTACTGCTTAATGGAGATGGAGTAATCAGTATAAATAATGTATCTAAATATGGAAGTGGGTAAGAGCAAATGAAGTGTTTCGGTCAAACAAAAAGCATTTTGAAAAAATACTACTGAGCTACCACTCCGGCTTCTGCTCTCAAAAGCTGCTGCTGCTGCTACTACAGCACTCCTTGGCAGGAACCTACCACGCCGCTGCAGGTCATACTCTTTTTTTGTCTCTTCATTCCCTAGAATTTTCCACGCTCGATCAATTTCGATGAACCTCTGCATGCGCGCCTCCACTTCTCCTGCTGGCACATCTGCGCTCTGTTTGTCTGGATGATACTGCCAATCAAAAGAAGGAAAGGGGAAGGGGAGGGGGGATGGAAGGGGGAAATCAATAGTAAATATGAGATCTATTTTAAGTGTATGGAGGATGTATAGGTCTGAACTATGGTGCCAAGGAAAACAAACAAAGGAAGCAGCATTGGCCACAAGAGATTGCTGCCAGGTTAATTAGACCACTGGAATAGCAGCAAATACACCAGTGGCACAAATGTCACAATGTGCACTGACAGCATTTTCTGGATAATTTGCTGATGGAATCATTGGTCTTATGGACAATTTACCTAGAGAGAATGACTAATGCAAACAGAAATAGGTATACGCAAATAAAAATAAAAAATAGGAGTAAGGGGAAGACTATTTAGATTTAACATTATTTTTTTTAGCCTAATGTAAATAACATATAATTTTTCTGTGGTTACTTTTTTAATATTTAGGTTTTGGCATTGAAACAGTCAACAGAAGATACAAAACAGGATATAAATTTACCATAAATGTAATTCTATTTTTAATCTATCATTCACCATCTTTAATTTATTCCAACCCAGTGAATAAAAAGCCTTTCCAAATTTCTAAAGTCATGGGTCACTGGATACAACATTTTGTGCTGTTTTCAGTTTTGAAATAATGTTTGGGGACAGGGCTAAAAGGTAACATGTGTAAGGGCAAAATGATATCGTAATTTCTGCATTAGTTTTGCTGAACACAGGATTGTAAAATTAATTAGATTTTGGTAAATATATAAGAAATGATCTGAATTTCTAGTATTTGTATAGGTATCACCAAAAGAAACCACCTCCCCAAACATCATAAAATTCTAATGCCATTTGTCACAATTCTCTCACTTATTCTTTTTAAAAACATATATCATACCGTTAACTTAACTCGAAACATCTCCACAATGTAAGATAACGGTATAAAATTCTGAGCAAGCACCATTCCAAATGAAAAAGTCATACATGGGTTTAGATTTTGTAATGTATAAAGGAGAAAAACATAGCTTGGCATGATTATTATTTTGTGTGTGTGTGGATTGTGTGCACAGTCTTAGATTATAATGACCAACTAGTCTTCTTCACACCATTTGGCAAGTACTTTTCAGTAGCTACTAGGAATATGGGCAGAGATTTCCAAGTTTGTCTTTCAACAGAAAGTTCCTTTTCTGTCCCCAATTCTTCCAACATCTTTCCCTAGACTTGGAGGACAACATCTGTTCACAGATGCAAACTGGCCATCTCTTTTTATATGTGATCCCACCTAAAGGAGGGATCGTGCGGCAAAGTCTCAATGTGAAATGTGGCCCGTTATTGCAAAAGATGCAACTGGAACTATAGACATATCTGAGGTGGAGATTTGTCTCCATAGTCATTCTATGTCATAACCTACAGCGAACGGGTTCTCTGGAAGTAGAAAAGCATCCTGCTTGGATGTGTGACTTGGTCTCCTTTAATGTAATGGCACAAACCATGAAAAAAAATGTTAAGTACTTCAAATTTCTATAATGCTTTGTCTTTTTTCACTACCCTGATCCAGCTCAGGAGATCCTAGTCTTACATCTTAGCGTACAAACAGGCTTTCGTGCACTTGCTGAATCAGAAAACATGGTTGCAAATTGAATATAGAATGAAATTCACATATGAAACTGTAACCTTCAACCACCTTTCATTAATCATCTTTAAAAATATTACTAAGTATAACTGGGGTTAGATTGGTGTGTTGTTTTCTGAGGAGTGAAAAGCAAGTCATTAATATTTAAAAGAATTACTCAAAAATACCATGAAAATGAGTCTTGTCTGTCAAAAAAGAAAAAAAGAGAGTGCAGTATCTTTCTTCAGTAAATACCTTTGAAATTAATAGACGCAAGCTGCCTGAAATCAAAGCTATAAATACTGTATGTATTTATAGGCCACAAAACAGGCCACAAAACAATAATGTATAGGACAAAATAGTCTTATAATACTAGTTATTAAATTTGTCTCATTATTATGGGTGGAATCCAATGATGTCTGCCCAGTTGCAGAACTGGACTTCCTCTTCCTATAACCCCGCTGTGCACACTCCAAATCTCTTCCAAAGGGTCCCTTAACTCTCTAGAGCGGGTTTTGGGTGTCACTCCATATGATTAATCTTAGCAAATTCTCTTGGGTTTGGGAAGAAAACAAAATGATAGGATAACTTTCCTGTTCTGGATAACTTGTATTACGCAGCTATGTTTGCACTTCTACATAAATAGCATTGCTATCAGAACATACAGCACTTAGGCATGCTGCTGCTGTGCAACAGCATCCCCTTTTTTCCATGATATACACACATTTCTGAGACAATCCAATTTAGATTTCCCTTTTAACATGCTATTGCCTTACAGTGCAACTTTTCCATATCTAGTCAGCAGGAAGCCCCAATGAGGCTTACAAGGCAAGTACAGGGGAGGGAAACCTCTAGCCCACAGTCTCTCTCTCCCAACCCCTGCACAGCAATTGGGCTTTTAAAAAAGGGTCCTTGAGGCCAACTGTAGTTTTTTAATTGCTGTGAAGGGCAATTTTGGGGGAGGGCAGCAACTAAGGAAGGAAGGGTTAGCCCTCTCATCCTTGTGCAATTGCCCTTGAAAACCACCCCACACAGCCATTTCATGACTAAAAAACTTACACTGGTGCCAATGGTACCAAACTTTTCCAAAGTCCACTTGCTGCTTTGGGGTGGGGTGGTGGAGTGATTTGGGAAGAGGTGGGGTCACAGCTGGGTAGGGGAGGACTAACTCAGGCAGAATAAGATTCCCTACCCTTGGAGTATACATGAGTTTGACCAAGCTGCGGGAGGCAGTGGATGACAGGAGTCCCTGGTGTGCTCTGGTCCATAGCACAGCTGTCAACTTTTCCCTTTTCTTGCAAGGAATCCTGTTCAGAATAAGGGAATTTCCCTTAAAAAAAGGGAAACGTTGACAGCTATGGTCCATAGGGTCACGAAGAGTCAGACACGGCTAAACGACTAAACAACAACAACCACCCTTGGAGCATAGAATCCCAACCCTACGATAGTTGGTGGGAAAGATATTAGGAGCCTGAGAACAGCAGCTTTTCCTGGGCCTTGCCCTTGCATTGTGCGCTCCCCCATCCAACACACTTCCAAAAATAAAGCAAAAATGCTTTGAAACCCCCCATCCCCCGAACTAGAATGGAGCAAAGGGACACTAGTCCAACACTAGCCAACCAGGCACCACAGTAAGTCAGCAGATATAATTTGTATATATTATATAAAAAAAGCCAGCTGTATTATTTTGAATTTATTTAAAATATTTCTAAATCACTGTTCATCCAAGGATTCCAGGAAGGTGTACAATTAGCATTAATTCACACACAATAATAAATATTACAAAAGTCATAAGAAATAATGAACTGAAAGGTTTGATAAAAGCTAACTAGCAGGACGAAAGAATGCCACATTTTTAAGTGTCTGGGCAAAAAACAATGTCTTAGTGCCAGTTGTACATTTGCAGGGAGGGCCTTCTAGAGCCAAGCCACTGCCCACAGTGCAGGTTCTTTCCTTCATGCGTAAATAGCAACTTCCACTAGGAACTTCCTGTTTCAAAGTACAGTGGAACCACAAAGGCTCTGTTGAGACTAAGATCCTGAACTTGAAAAAGGTGCTCAGCACAGGAGTGAATTAAATATTCTTCAGCAATGTTAAAGTAGGTGTATTTAGACTCAGCATTCTAAATCTATTCCCAATTCCTGTCTGCTGCCAGGGGTGGGGTGGGGTACAGGATGAATTGCTTGCATAAGTAACATTGATTTTTCTGAAAATATGTTAGCACAATTGGGATCCAAATATTGGCTTCAAAAATCCCAAGTGTAAGAAAAGCCTAAGGAAAATGTATTCTAGGAAAGCAAGCATATGCCTTACTTCAACTGGCACCTTGCTGTTAAAAAGCTTGGGGTGTGGGCCTGAGAAATCCAGGATCAAATCCTTGTTAATCTGTCTACTTAAACACAATTATTACTTGGCCTAAGGGCATATGTTAGAGCATTCTTTTTTCTTTAACTTGGAGACACTAGGGTCCTTTAGATCTAATGGGTAATGCATGGGTAATTTGGATGACCTGAACAAGTCCCTTCCCCCACATGAACCCATCCACACAGTAAAATTACTTTTGGAGGCCCTTGTACAGGTGCCCACACTTTGGAGGTCAGACAGATGGCCACTGGCAAAATTGCTTGCTTTCCATGGCACCCCTCTTTAGAAGACTCTATCTAGGTTAGTTCACCTGTACCTAATTGCCTGCCTTTTTGGTACTGGACAAATACATATTTATTTTCCTAGTTTCTTAAAATTCCAGCTGATATTTTGTGTTTTATTTGGCTGCAATGATTCTTCTTGCCTTATTGCTTTCATTTGATATTTAAATGTTATTAGTCTAGTAGTCTGATCTGTGATATGTTTTTTTATGTCATAGCCACTCTTGAAGTAGTGATGCTGAAGGGTGAAATATGTTTAAAATAAAAATAAATGAAATAATGATTTCTCCATGCTACACCATGAGGTGGGTGTACCTGATTTACCTGTTTTCCACAGTGCTACAAGCACCTCATACAGTCTGAAAATAACTTTTTCATGCAGATCTCTAACATAGTGTAGATTCATAGCACGTTTATTTTTATACTGCTTTTCTGACTGAAGAATCCCAAGGCAAGATTCAGTTAAACGACAAAATTAAAAGACCAACATCTCAAGGATAGCAGGTGATGGACCATAATTATAATACTAACTCCTCTACAGTTTCTTCTTCCTCTGAGCTCCGATGTAAAAATATCAATGGGGGATGTTCTTTTGTTTTGTACTTGGAGGCTGTGTGCATGTGTGGGAAAGTCTAAACCAGCATTCAAGACTACAGCATACTATTGTGGTGTTCACAGCAGCTTGTGCATCAAAATGCTTAAGTCCCACAATTTATATTTATTGGAATTAAAATAATGAAAGCAAAGTGGGGAAAAGTAAGGCAGGCAGTTTTACACTACTTAGCATTATTAAGCCAGGGGATTCAATTACATACTGTTACTGCAGAAAAAACATCTTATCTGTACATTTACCATTACAGAGATGTGGACAGAAACAACAAACTTGAATACTCAAGAGTGCCACAACAGAGCGGATTTGCTAAGATTATGATATAATGTGGGAAAGCAACTCTTTCTGTCAACAAAGGATGCCTGCACAGTCATACCTTGGTTGACGAACACCTTGTGAGTCAAACGTTTTGGCTCCCGAACGCCACAAACCTGGGAGTGTTCCGGTTTGCGAATGTTCTTTGGAACCCAAACGTCCGATGCTGCTTCTGTGGCTTCCAATTGGCTGCAGGAGCTTCCTGCAGCCAATTGGAAGCCGTGCCTTGGTTTCCAAACCTTTTGGAAGTCGAATGGACTTCTGGAATGGATTCCATTCAACTTCCGAGGTACAACTGTAGTTACTTGGAATTATAGTTGCCTCTTAAAATTAATTGTTCACAGTGGCTGAGGATTTAAAATGAGTATGAAGGGCTGATTACCTGCTCAGAAGTAAGACCATGTATGTTCGGTGGGGCTTATTCCCAGATAAAATATGTTTACTGTTGCACCCACCCCAATCTCTGAGCGGTGCGAGATTCTAGGAGGTCCAGGCACACCCACAGGGTTCGGTTTCCTCAGAATGAGGGACAGCAGAGACTGTGGTGTCTTTAGGATATATGGTTTATTCACACATATATACAACATGAGCATACGATGGAGGGGCTCACAGCATTAACACCCCAAGAGGATCTTGGTTCTCCCATAGCCACAGCCTTGGATACAAAAGAAAATCAGGCATGGCTCTGTCTCTTGCAGCTGCCCAGCCTGCAGTCTGCCACTTCTTGCTTCTAGCTCACACACACAACTCACACACAACAATCTTTGCCTTTCTAACTACCAGCGAGAGTTGCAGGAAGCTGCCCACCCATATTCTGTCTGGCATAGAGTCACTTTGTTACCTTACTGGCCCATACTTAGAGGGCCCTTAAGTCACCAAGAAGCTATCCTGGCTTTTCCAGGAACTGAATCCATGCTGGATCCAGGAATTAGAAAGGGGATCAGGCATACAGACAGCCCCCACCCCGGCAACTCAGCAATACTGAAACTATATGACTCAGTTCAAATATAGTAATATTCCTACTATTTGACTGTGTAAAAGTTCTATAAACTTCAGATAATAAAGCATTAGATCCACAAAATGTTTTACTGTTACATTTCAAGTTTTTAATTCCCACAGTGCTGTATCATGATGGCTTAGTTTGGGTGACGTTATTCCTAGTTTATTAGTTTTTAAGGGAAATGAAGTTTCAAATTAAGTGACACTATATTTTTTTAGCCATACTCACATTTTCAGTGGTAGTAAGTTTTGAACTTTCCTACTAACCATGATCTAGCACATGCTCACAAGCTCAATCTTTGTGCAAGAAGATTTGGAAGGATTTGAGGAAGGCTGGGGGAGGAGGAGTTGCTGAAAAGCAGAAAGGACATGCACAGTTAGTGTGCAAACATCCCTTTGAATGACTAATGTCTCAACAAATGAAACTGATCTGTAAAAATGTTACTTGGGAGAAAAAAGAGAGAGACATTGCTCATACTTTGTCAACCAAGAAAATCTTTAATAAAAATACATTTTAAAAAATTACTACAACTCTCCTTTAATGTAGCTGAAGCTATTTTGCAGCATAGTATTAAAAACTAAAGTGTGGAAAACATCAATATCCGGTTACAAATGGAGGAAATTAATATGATTTAAGTATAAGGGGCCTACATTCACCCAAATACTTCCCTTTTTGTAGCCAATATTCATAGCTGCATTTCATATATCATGCACTCCACAATGTGGCTAATTATTTAAGATACCTACTGTATCTTCAATACAAGATAAAGCATACAGCACATAGATCTGCTGTGAAATAGTTCTTCCAATTTGTGAGAGAAGTCACCAGAGGGAGGGGGACAAAGCCTGAAAAACCAACTCAGTTAGTCAAATGAGAAGCCAACAGAAATAGCAGCAGCAGCAGCAATAATAATAATAATAATAATAATAATAGTAATTTCACAAGCCAGCAAATGGCAATCAAAGATACAGACATCTGAACTTCATGGGGCGAGACATTCCATAACACTGGGAAGGCCCTAAGTTCCACTGGCAGTGGAGCAATTTTCACTAATTTTTCTGCCTCTCTGTCATCTCCTGTGATCTCTTGAAAAGCTACTGCAAAGGGCTGACGGAATCTCCTAAACAGTGTGGGTGGTGGTTGTAGGTGTGGGCGGTGGTTGTAGGTAAGAAGAATTGGTGAAAGTAACAATCCTGGCCATCTTCCTCCAGCGAAGTACCAGTACTTCTCCTGGATTCTGGTTCACTCCATGAACTGAAGGAGCCCTTCTGCTGCAAAGAGTCAAGGCTGGATCTACTGCACCATTGCCAACCCCGATCAATCTTACTTCCACCATAGGTGAGACACAGAGAAGGACTTCCTTACCAGATCTTAATATGTACAAGACGGTCTGCCAGGTCCAAGTCATTTAAGGTTTTACAAAGGAAAGAACCAACAGTTTGTATAATGACAGGAAACAAGCTGGTAACTAGTGTGGGTGATGCTGGATAGTAATGTAATCCTATAAGTTGCTGCTACTATCTGGAACAACAAAAATTTCAGAAGAATTTCAAAACTAAGCTCAAGTAGAGTGCACAGTAGTAATCCAATCTAGATGCATGTGACCACTGTAAGGTCTGATATCATCAGAAATAGACACTTGAAGCCCCAAATGGGCAAGGCACTCCTGGACACAGTTGCCATCAAGGAATCCATGTTTAAAGCTAAATAAATTTATGGATTCTTTAGGGGAGTACTGTACTATATAAAACAGTTTTAATTAGCACAAATGCTGTTCTTACATCAGGAAGTTTCTAGCAAGGCTGCACTGATACCTTGGCTTATATATTTAAAATGGCTTAGATCCAGAGTTGCCTTTCTGTGAATTTCAGGGCTGCATCCAGAGAAGCCGCTGAGAGTGGCTGGGGCAACCCAGTCAGATGGGTGGGATGCAAATAATAAAATTATTTAAATTATTATCTTCTACTCATGGAATCTCCTGTACAAAGAAGGGCAAGGGATTTTGGCCAATCCCCCTCTTCCTCCTCTGCCCTTCCCACTGTTTTGGAGACTCTCCAATTTTCCAGAGCAGATATTCTGGAGTCTGCAGGCAGGAAGAGGAAATCAGCAATAAATAAATAAATAAATAAATAAATAAATAAATAAATAAATAAATAAGTCTCCCCTTCCATTCTGAGAGTGGAGCTCAAGGAACATTTTTGAGGGAAAAAATGTATTTTTATTCCACCTTTTGGAGGAAACCTCAGTGACTGACAAGAAAAACACTGAAATACATAAATCTCTAACTTACAGGAGGGAGGAACCTACAATTGGCTGGTGACTAAAAATTAAAACCTAGATTAAACAAAACCAGAACAGCAAATGACGCAAATAACTGTTATATGCACAGTGACAGGGATGAGTGATGGAGGTGGAGGGGTCACGATCCAAAGACATGTTCTTATGTCATGCTTCACAAGTATAAATTAAAAAGATGAACCCCCGCCCCCTTTGTTATGGTGTTCCCGTTGCTAGTGGCATAATGTGCTTTAAAATAAGATTCAGGTTGCAATTGTAAACTGACTTGCCTGGGAGTAAGCCCTATTGAATCCAACAGGACTTACTTCTGAATAGGCACGGTAAGGATTGAGTTGTAAATCATAGTGCAGGGTGCAAACATATCCTTTAGTACACCCCGTTAACCTGAGGCAGAGCAAGCAAGCAAGCATTTGTGCTTATAAAGTTGGAGAGGCTCAATATTACAGGTCTGAGAACGAGGTAAAGCACCAACTAGCCAGTTCCCAGCAAAATCAGTGGGGGCTTCTCAACACTTCACAAGACCAGTTCCTCAGCCAAGCAAAATCCATTTGAAGTGTTTTTCTTTAGCTACTATACAGACTTAATGACTTGCACATAAAAGGTCTTGTACAACAGCTAGCCTGAAGCAACAGTGCACTCTTTGCTCTGTGGCCTACATGGTTCATCAGGTACTAATTAGGTAGCATGTTCTGTCAACGCTTTCATGCTTTTCTTCTATTAATTGATCATTCTGCCAAATTAATGACATTGCTGTACCAGCTTTGAATTCCCTTAGCTCCTTTACCTGTGAGACACGCAGAAGCAAAAGAATACCCCAAAAGGTCACAAGTTAACTGTCCCTGTTCAAGATTTGACGTCAACGTTAAAAACATTTTGCTGAAAGGTTAATTACATCTACCTAGTCTCTATAAACATCTCCTTGAGACTAAATCATACCCCTCTTATCTAACTAACTAAAAGAACATAACTAGTATACAATATTAGGAGCATGGATATAGCTGAAAAGAATAAAATAGTGTCAAAACACTCGATTAGATATTTAAAAATAGTCTAAAGGAGAAAGGAAAAGGAGTAAAAAGGAAAAAGGAGGGAGAAACAAAGACTGCATGCAATATTAGTTAGCTTTGACTAATTGTAAAATAAATTAACCCTAAGTGTGACACACTTCTAATTAGCAGGACACAATCACCTTCTCTAGTTGTTTAATAAAAAGAGTTTACACATACATCTGGAAATTTTGCATTTGGACTCAAGGGAGAGAATCATATCTACACATTTCTCAGGGCAATCCTTTAAAGTATGTTTAAAACAGCATTATTTTCACTCACCCTTATGTCCATTCAAACTGCAAGTACAGCAATGTGCACTAAATTATTATTTAAAAGTCATTATTAACACTGTCACAATTTTTTTTATAAATTTCAAAATCACATATTTTAAAGATATAAGGCATATATTATGAACAATTAGAACATTATAAATAATTGAGACATAATGTTTCATCCATTTTTACACTGCATTAGGACATAAAGTAAAAACAAAACCAAACCAGGGACAAAGAGTTCTCATCAAATACAACACACTACTGCCACCTAATGCATGCTCAAATAATACTTCCAAAGGCACTGAGTTTTCTCCACACTATTTATAAAACAGAGCAATACCAGTGGACCTATTTATTTCATTTGGTTATCATCTTTTTAATTAATGCTTTCAGATTTATAATTTCTCCCACCCAGATGTTTCCCTTAGACAAGCATAAACATACATTCTTTCAAATATACAAGCTAGGAAGTAGGGACCACAAACTCTGCAGATGAACAAAAGCAAAGCATTTCAATTGCAGCAACAATAAAAAATACACAGAAAATTAGCAAACATGTGCATATCATGAGAAAACGCTCTGTGGATACACAGTGGTACAGTTGCTATTTTTACAGATAGGTGTTATATGGAAAAAACTAACTAATTTCTCAATGTATGAAGAGGTGCTTAGAGAGGGTTAAAAAACACAACCAAACTGCCAGGTTCATCTAAGCATGTTCTAATGATCACAAAATGACCTTTTAGTCTTCTTATGGACTCAGTTTTTAAATCTGATCTCTCTGAGTTCACATCACCAACCTACAAGTTATGACTACTGCCTCAGTGAGGTTCTGAACTCATTTAAATACACATATACCTCTAGACATAAAACCTCAGTTTGGGCTTCAGTGCAGCTGTACACATAGTAGGTACAATTAACAGCATTGCTGACTTTCCCACTGGAAAATCTCTCAGATATTTCAAGGACACTACAAATTCATCAGTCTCTGAGGGTGGACCATCTAAACGGGCCCACAACACTTACAGGGGGGGAATTGCCATCATCAGTTCAAACTTAACCAGATAATGGTCAGATCCTTATCTTCAATCTATCCCTCATATTGATAGTGGTACAAACTACATTGAGGGTGCGTGCCCTGCCTGGTGTGTTTAGAAAATAATAACAGTAACAACAACAACAACAACAACAAACAAACAAACAACAACAATTTTATTATTTATACCCCACCCATCTGGCTGGGTTTCCCCAGCTACTCCGGGTGGCTTCCAGAAAAATATAAATAATAATAAAATGTCAAACATTAAAAATTTCCTGACACAGGGCTGCCTTCAGATGCCTTCTAAAAGTTGCATGGTTCTTTAATTCATAGACATCTGATGGGAGGGCATTCCACAGGGAGGGCGCCACTGCTGAGAAGGCCCTCTGCCTGGTTCCCTGTTACTTTACTTCTTGCAGTGAGGGACTGCGAAACATCCATGAAGGATGGAATCCAGACCCAATGGAGACCACTTTGCAGGGGAGGGGTTTTCCTCACTTAAAACATCAGCTTTACTCTTTTAAGCTCAAGTTTTACCTCAAGTTTTAAATATGACTTTTTTTTTTTAAAAAAAGGGGACAAATTGTAGTGGGGTGTGTGTTGATTTTCAGTGGGGAAAGTTCTATGGATTGGAGGTTCTCAGACCTGGAAATTGGGAAGACATAGTTTGTGACTGGGTTGCACTTCCCCTGAAAGAGTGAGTATGTAGTTGGGGACTACTCCTATGGCTTATTATCTGGAACTTGTTAGCCTGCACTGTGCCTTAAAAACATATTTTAAATCTCTGGGCTTTAATTGTGTCTTTTACCTGCTCTTATCGTTATTTGTGATCATTTTAGTTGATTTTTTGGCATTCTATCCTGCCTTAAAATATGTTATGATGAAGGGTGGCTATAAACACACTAGCAAACATATATGCCTCCCTATAACGAAATGCTCTGACATGTCAACAACAATAAAATATTTGATGTTGTGCAGCATTAAAGCAATTCCACATTATGATCAAAACGAGGTCAAAAAGGAAAGAACTGAGGATAAAAACAAGAGAATGAGAGAGAGAGAGAGAGAGAGAGAGAGAGAGAGATTTTTTGCTAGTAATCATTTGCTGGACTTCGGTTCCCCAGCTCTAAAGTTCAAGTCCACATTTACCCTGAACTTACTAGGTGGCCTTGAGCTTAGCATAAATTACCGTATCCTTCTGTAAAATGGAAATAATAGCTTTGTATTCTGGGATTGCTGCATCTCTCTCTCTTAAAATAATCTGGGGGTGGGGAAGTGTAAACACTGAGGGGGTGTCTTTCCCCCAAAGTAGCAATTTCAGTAAACCTTCTTCTCTCTCCTCAGTCCAAATGCAAAATATCCTATCTCACAAGGCTAATATGAGCGTAAGTAGTTCTATAAACCAATAACAAAATGTTAACAGTGCTACAGAAATGATTCACAACTGTCCTATTAAGCTGAACTACTGAGATCTGCTGACCTACTATTCTCAGTACAGCCCAACATATCCCCATATAAAATGAAACATAGTTTCCTTCCCACAAATACTTTAAAAGTCTCTAAGTCACAGGTGGCTAACTTTTTTCTACCTGGAGGGTTTGGCACCTTTCCAAGGGCCATATAGCAGTGCTAGACCTGGCCAAAGTTGTTGTGCCCAATGCACTCACCACACACAAGCAGACCAGCCAGTAGATAGGAAGGTCCAGCATCTCCACTGTGCCACTGGGGTAGGAGGCTCTCCTCCAGCCCCAGCACGGTCTTGGGGAGCACTGCTGCATAAGACAAAGCATGTCTGCACTCATGCATTTCATAGAACATTACCTAATTAATGAAAAGTGTAATATTTGGAGATGTATGGCTTGCACACAAACATTTTTATGGGTGATCACTGACCATTTAAAAGCACGCAATGTCCCTCCTGCACGCTCAAAAGATCCAGTGGAGATCCCACTTTGGCTCCATGATACATACTGAACACATTTATAATAAAACATTTCTTATTCCATGAAACTGGGGAAAAATCATTAAATGTAAAATGGAAGAAGCCCTCAAAATGGTGGTGAAAATTGGAAACTTTTCAATGATTAACTATTAATTAAAATCATGAAGTTATGATGATAAAAAGTGGAGACAGCTAGCAACCCTGAAAAAAAAAAAGTCAGTCATGAAATTCTGCAGTGTGTTTTTGCAATAAAAAGAATTCTCTGTTGAACACAAAGCTAACTATGCTACTACTTCAGAAAAATTAGTTTTGTTAGACAGATAATGCACACACATTCCTCAGTCAATACACATACACATTTTGATGTAAACAAACTCTCAGAATACCAATGGCCTTTGAGGAAAGTCTCTTTTCAAATGCAAATGTAAGTCCTTCACTTACAAAGATATAAAGAAGCGGTCTTAGACAACATTTTTGTCCATGGCACAGGTGAAAAGGTCCATCAATATCAGGGCTGAGCTGCAGTTAATAAATTGCAAATTTTAAGCTATTAAAGAAGAAGATGAAAAAAGGAAAATTAGACCTAAGAACAACTTTCCATTCGTTATGTCTGAGTGTAGAGAGGGTAGCCAGAAAGAGTTAACTCTTGTGCTTCTATGTCAGAAGGCAGGGCTTAAAATCCTATGTTAAGAGGTGAGAAGCAACTTCACTTCCCAGGTAAAGATGTTGCCTGAACTTCTTGGAACCTGTACAACTCTTATTTAAGATATTTATATGCCACTTAATCATCAGTATTTCTTGGTGGTGTACATAATAATACATCATAGAGAGAACAGAACAATGACAAGTCATCATGAAAGAAAGACAGAAAGACTTTATTAGGGGCCTGAAGTTCAGCAATGTCAGTACCTGAATATTCTCATTAACTTGACCTTAAAAGTTGTTCTTTTTTAAAATCATACTGCATATAGAATCACAGGTGAAAATTAGAGGAAAGTCATCACAGAGCAGAACTTAATAAGTCTCAGTCCTTTATATTTGACAGTGTAATCCTAGGTACCGTACTTTTCCATCTATAAGACGCCCCCATGTATAAAACGCACCCTATTTTGGGGGCCTCAAAATTTAGAAAATGGGGGGATTGAGCTTTGGGGGGGATTATTTGGGGGGAATGCCAAAAATTGCTCACCCGCCAGAACGCAGCACACAACCACTTGAGTTTCAGAAACCACCTATCAGCTGGCTGTTCGCTACTATTAGTCCTCCCAATTGCTGCTGCAGCAGCCAATAGATAGCTGCCCTTGTCACAGCAAGCAGGAGAGTGATTGGTGGACGTTGGCAGTGATCCGGCAGCTAACAGGTGGTTTCTGCAATGTGAGCGGTTGTGTGCTGCGTTCCAGTGTGAGCGATTTTTTGCATCCCTCCCCAACAATCAAGCAGCCAATCGCCGCTTACAATCTCAAGCTTGCGCCAAAAAAACATTCGCCCGTCCCCCCTCAGCACTACCCATGTATAAGACGACCCTAAATTTTGAACCTCATTTTTGGGTCAAAAAAGCTTGTCTTATACATGGAAAAATACAGTAGGTCTATTCATACGCAAGCCCTGCTGAATTCAATAAGACTTATACATAGGTAAGTGAATAGGACTGCAGCCTTAGTCACACAGAAGGCAAATAGGGAAAGAGGAAGAAACATGCACAGTTTCTTTCATGAATTTTATATTCTATCTTTGGTTAGAAGTCTGCTAGAAGGCACATAACTGAACTAAGTTATTATCAAAAGAGTGAACTGCATTTTAAATGTGGTAGATATTAAAGCTTTGAATCTTTCAAATATTATCCCCTATAATTGGCATCTATCATTCACTTTTAGAATACACTCAAGTAAATTTGTTCATTACTTTAGAATGTATTATATAATCTGTACCATCAGTTTAAGAAAATAAATCACACAATTTAACCCAATCACAATGGGCACTAACCACTGCCAAAGCTGGCAGGCTTAATTTTAGATCTACCAGCTGTGCTAAGATGCATGTACATGTGACCGTAACACCCCTAAGTTCTCCCTGTCTATTACTTTCAAACAGACAGGCTATCAACTTGAACAACAATCCTGCTGTCAGACAGACCCTGGTTTTAGGAAAACTCAAGTACTCCAACTTTGTTATTTCAGAACTGGCCATTATGGCAATTTAAGTTTTAAAAGCCACTTGTTTGGAAGTAGAAGGGAGGTTTCAAAGAACAAAAGGGTCAACAAATATGGTTTGAAGTGTGGTTTAGCACACAGAAAGACCTTTTCATCCTGGTGTGTCTCTATTCTTAAGTCAGTGACCAGTAAAAATCTTCATATGCTAACACCTGTACATTTTCTTTTTTGCTGAAGCAAATGTGTGAACAATTTTTTGGAGGTTTGGCTGGTAGATAGATAAACCAACAGCGACTATACATTAGTAACTTAGGCCCAATGATCTATGGTCAACATTAAAGAATGAGAGTTAGGATAATATTAAATATGTGTCCCTTCCTCTTGGTTCTTCGTTCTCAAAACTAGCTAATAAATTAAAAGAATGTATGACAAATATATTCATTTGTAATGAATTTTCTTAAGCTAGAAGATCCCAAACAAAATGTTCACTTAAAAGAGGAAGTTACAGAAAATGTAAGTAAGTAAATAACTAAATAAATAAATCAGTGAGGGTTTTTAAAATTAGACCCACCAATTCACATACAAAACACTAATTGCACTTGTTAAAGTAAGAGGATTATGAAACTTGAAGAAAAAAATTAAGACAGAACCAGCAAATAACTGTGCCCTAACTATAGAATGAAATCAACATAACCCTGATTTCAGATGTCACAAATGGACAGCCAGACCCAGCAAGATGTACCACAGTAGGGTGCTTCAAAAGCAGAAAACTCCTCAGGACTCAGGAAAGTGATCACGAGTATGGGACAAAATAGTGTTTTAAGTGTTTTACAAGATATCATTTCCCTAAAGGATGACAGTCAACACCACAAAAATCTTTGGCAATAAGCAGGTTTAAGTATGAGTGTTTATGAGATAAAACATTAAGTTAAATCATAGCTGGCTAATGGATAACACCACACTCATCCTGGTGAGCATGGTGAACAGATTTATTGAAGTTTGTTGTTAACATTAGTCCCATACAGGTATTCTCCTCCTCACACAATTAGAATTGTGCAAGTGGAGAGTGAGGATGTGGTAAGTGCCATATTTTTCGCTCCATAAGATGCACCTTCTCCCGCTGGAGCCTTGGCAACGGGATAGCGCCTGCAGTTCAGTCAGCCTGCCTCCAAAGGCAGCAGCAGCGAAACTGAACTCATCGGCTTTCCTGGCGGCTGTACTAACAGCCGCTGCCACTCTTTTCAATGAGCCTCATCCTCCAGCCGCAACATCTATCTCCCTGGGCAATGTTTGCTCAGATGTTACTTGGCTCTGGCGGTAGAACCTCTCTCTCTCTCTCTCTCTCTCTCTCTCTCTCTCTCTGGCCTGGCATACAACTACAGCAAACAACTGCTGCAACTACAGCCACTCCCCGGGAGAGAGGACGCATGGGGAGGGGGCTGGAGAGAGAGAGAGAGAGAGAGAGAGAGAGAGAGAGAGAGAGAGCTTGTCTAGATCAGGCATTGTTGTTGTTAATTTGTATACTGTCCTCCACCCGAAGATCACAACATAAAAATGCAAAACAAAAACAGAGCAAAAGTGAAATTTGCCGCCTCGCCTTGCAAACAAAACCCAAAAGTGTTGCCTGGCAGCCTTGCTTGCACATCCAAGGGATAAAAAGACCCGTTTCTTCTACAGTGGTACCTCGGGTTAAGAACTTAATTCATTCTGGAGGTCCGTTCTTAACCCGAAACTGCAATTAACCTGAGGTACCACTTTAGCTAATGGGGCCTCCCGCTGTAGCCATGCAATTTCTGTTCTCATCCTGAAGCAAAGTTCTTAACCCGAGGTACTATTTCTGGGTTAGTGGAGTCTGTAACCTGAAGCGTCTGTAACCCGAGGTACCACTGTGCTTCTGGGCAACGTCTCCCTCAGAGCCTTCAGACACACATGGGCATCTGGCAGCTAAACCTCGGTGTAAGAGGCAAATATATTTCTTGGCAGGAGCTCCCCGTCCCAATTTGACAGAGCGCGCAAGGGAGAAAGTCTGCACTGGCTCTTGGCTGCTCTCATGCAAGTCGCAGAGTCCCTCTGATGGAGGGAAATCTAAAGAGTGTTCTAAAGCCCTCTTCCCCCGCCTCGCCTCTCCCCACCCCCTCACGCAGGCGGGGGACGCTCGCACGGACGACGTGCCACACCCCCGCCACTCCAGGAACCAAAGTCCCCAGCTATGCTGGGCCAGGGACCACACATTCGCTCCATAAGACGCACAGACATTTCCCCTTACTTTTTAGGAGGAAAAAGTGTGTCTTATGGAGCGAAAAACACGGTACTTCTGTCCCCTCCAGTGTTGCCTCATTACCCTCCAGGGCAGATATCTGTAGAGTGAAGCCTGCTGTACTTGTGGAAGCTCCAGACAGGATTTAGTGCCCTGATTATAAAATCATGTGGAGAGTCTCCATGACTATGGCAAGCTTCCCAATGCATGCAGGGCGGCAGTGGTGGCAGCAGTGGCAAAGCACTCAGAGCTACCTAGCATGTTCCTGCTTTCAGTTTCATCATGTGAAGAGAATGCCTAATAGGGCTCTTGAGGACTACGAAAGAGGAAGTGAAGTGAAGTCTGGTGTTCTAAAATTATGCTGAATGACCAAGCTTTTGGCTACCTCAAATCATATTCCCACACCTTCAGGAGAGAGTCCTCTACAATATGGCACAGAATTGTATCTGGGATGTCCAGCATGCATTTATAGAATTGGTTTACCATTCTAGTTCACAGGTATGACAGTTTTTTTGGAACTACTTATTGCACCACCCACCCTGTCTGGTTCATAGACTATACCGTGACAGCATTTCCTTCCTCACCAGTACCCATAAGCAATCTGAGATGGGAAGACAGCCTCAAACCAGTGAGGGATTGTCAAATTATACCAGCAGACATGACAGGATCTGATAGGATACAGAAACCACAGTACTCTTCATCCCTCACGTGCTATGATAGTTCTTTCCCTTTACATCAGGAACACTGATGGGAACACTATAGTAGCAGCAACATATAGAACACGTCTATACTCAGTTTCATCTAATACACCTTTACAGTATATACCATTGGGTCTATATTAAAAACACTACAGGACAGATACTACAGAAACTCACAAACAAAGACATTCTACAAATGGAACATACATCCAAACTTAATAAATCTTCACATACTTGTCTTTTAATACCATTATTGCTGCTGAATATACTTTTACAGGGGGAAAAGCCTTTTTTTCAGGCAGTGTCTTATGCTCAGTTTATCCAGTGATGCCAGTTTAGTGCTAGTGACATTATAATTGCTTCCATGGTAGCAAATTGTAAAGTCACAAACACTGATTGATTCATTTCATGCTGCCACAATTCAGAAGGGAAGGTCAGGCATTTTCTTTAATTAAGATAAAGAATTATTTATAAGTTTGAAGAGAATTCTTTTGCCTCGTTTTCATTTCACATGATAAAAAACCCCAGAAACCAGATTCTTTTATATTTTCAGAATGCTGGGAAATGCTACAAAGTGTCAGGGTTATTTAAGGAAGAAGAGAAACCAGTTTCAGTTTTATCTAATAAACTACTTGCACACATGATATAACTAACACTTACTACATTGGACCCTGTTTATGCAACACTTATCAATCAAATGTTATTTTTATTTATTTTGTCTTTTAAGAGGCATGAAATAAACTTACCAATAATATAAGCTTTTGATATTTCCTCTTCAGTTCTATCAAACTGTCCGATGGTTCTGCACCCAGAATGCTATACCAGTCCTTGTTTGGCAACTCTTCAAAAGTCATTGCATTCTAGTATCTGTTTTAATGAAAAGAACAAAAATTAGAAGGCAATCATGTTTTAAAAATTATTTTTATAATGCATAACTGCAAGCAAAAAACTGAGGCCTTGAACTCAGGACTGGTAATACAGAGCTAAAATGGAAATTGCGGCTTTTGCCTTAAAGGAGCACAAGAATTCTTTCTAATAAGCACCGATATATATGTATCTATCAAAGACTCTGGGCAAGCATGTAATGAAAATCAAGATTCACATTTTCTCAAAAGAACAATTATTTGAATTGTGGCATCTCATTTTATCTAACTAGCTTTGTGAGCACTTCCATTGAAATTAATTAAGCTAGAGCAGGGTAAATAGATGAAGAACCAGTGTTAGAAACTGGGATACAAAAGCTAGGAGCTAAATGGCTTCTGGGACCTGGGTTGTGGGCACCCAAACAGAATGTTTGTCACCATTACAGGGGGTCAGCAACACTTTTTATTTATTATTTTGATAGGCATGAACTAATACACAATTCACATGACACATTGTTAATATCACATTTTTAACAGAAATTGTTAATATGTGTTTAATTTGGTGTGCACAATAAAAATAATGGTACCATACTTCAGTTTTCAAAACACTCAACACTTTATTGTTGAACTCCTAAACATATTGCCTACCCTTAACATATACTTCGAGGCTTTAAAGCACATATATTTCAGTAATCCTTGAGTGTCAGCCAGATGCAAAAAAGGGCATCCAGACCTTTTGAGGTGCTTGCAAATGGAGAATCTTTAGGTGCAAAATGTGCCTGGTGCCCTGCCAATTTCGAACCTTGTGAAGAACTGCATCAAAAACTTATAATCCTCATATTACTGAAGACAATACTCCCAAACTAATCGGTAGAAGTATTGCAGAGCCTGGAAAAAACACTTAACAAGTAATATACAAAATAAACTTTTTAAAATCCAGCATTTAAGTTCACTACATCTGATTTTTATATTTGGGGGGGAAAACGGTAATGAAGTACTGAAACAAACAAACTAACTAACAAATAAGGCTTTTTTAAATATTTATTTCACAGTGCATTAGCTGTGATTGAAGAACTTGCACTATTTTGTACTTTTGTTTCTTGAACAGTAATTTCTAGTTTTGAACTTGTCTTTCGAATTGTGTTTCTTGAACAGTAACTTCTAATTTTGAACCTGAAAGGACTTTGAAAATGAGGAGTAGTTTTAAAAGGGCTAACAACAGAAGTGTCTAAAGTAGCTCTTTGGATCCTAGACATTAAACACTTTTCTGGTAAAAGAACTCTAGGTGGTGTATATTACCAAATACTAATCCTACTGAATTCAATGGTATTTACTCCTTAGGAAGCATGCAAGAGATTGCAGCATTACTTGTTGACTAGTACCACTTGGAATTACAGCCTTGAACAAACTTTCCCACCTTCCAAAAAAAAAAAAAAAAAGGAACAAAATGCTGAAAAGCAAACAGAACCATCTTCCAATCTACTATGCCTAGGATAATGGAAATCCTGATGCCTCCCCTCAGTACAAGCACAAAATGCAATCAGTGTCAGGCAATGGCTAACAGCTCATTACATTAATGAACAGCAGAGAAAGAGAAAGCCTTTGTAATGTGCTGACATGATAATGACAGCTTCTCATTAACTATATACCAGAGAAAATCCAGGGCCAAGGAGACAACGATCCAAGGAACTGGAAGACAGGGGAATAAATATCCATGACTCTCGCAGCAATGGAGATACTTCATGGCCCTTGCAGAAGTCATTTCCTCAACCTGACATGGGCTTTCTGAACTGTTAAGGAAAACACATTTTCCTGAAGTGCATTGAAGGACGGGGTAAGAAATGCTTGGTAAGCAACTGGTCCTTCAAAGAGCTTGGAAAATATATTTGGACTTCAATACCCTACCTCAAAAAACCCTAATGATATTATTCAATAGCAGTACAGTGGAACCTCAGTTTTCGAACGTCTCCAACAAACGTTTCTGCCTTCGAATGGAGAAAACCCGAAAGTAACTGCTTCGGTTTTTGAATGATTTTCAGAAGCCGAACGTGCGATGCAGCTTTCGTTTTGAGTTTTTCTGTTGTACTGAGGCTTCCACTTTCAGTTTCCGGTTTTCGAACGTTTCAGAAGTTGAATGGTCTTCTGGAATGGATTACGTTTGAAAACAGAGGTTCCATTGTATAGTGTCACTCTGGGATAATACATCAAGTGATGGGACAGAAGCACTGGTAGCACTGTCTCCAGTTTTTACTGTACACATAGAATTTTAAAAGAAAGGGAACAACATGCGCGTTGTCCTGTATCAAAATGGAATCCGGGTAGCCCTCCATACATTTCAGCTGTCCTTTGTTGGCAACCAAAATTTTGTGGGGGCTAGGACCTGAAGGGGTATAGTCTTGTCCCTTATATAGTGCTGCTTCCCAGAATGGCAACCCAAGCCTGGAGCCAGGGGTAAGGTAAGGGAAATCATTCCTGCAATTGTGTACAAAGCTTTGGTGGGTGGTGGAGACATACACCTGAAGGTGAACAACCTCTCAGCCCAATTTCTTCCACCTCTATTACACCTTTGCCAACTAAATACAAGGGCAAACAGTTGATAAGGATATGTCATTCAATCTGTGACTAATATAGTCTATCAGTGAAGGTTTATACCTCTCATCCCCTTCAGCCAATGTTGAGTGGGGGCATGACAGCACTGATGGCTTTTTTTGGCATTTGTGTGCAGTCACAGTTTCTTTCGGCTCCACTGCCAGAATTACTACAGTCTTTCCCACACCCCACCAACTCAAAATACAGAATACCAGCCAATCAACCAGGTATTGTCCCTCACTCTGGTCCAACCAGTGCCTTCCTGGAATTCTGGTAAATAGTTGCAAAAAGGCTTCTCAGCTCTAGGAGTTCCTGGTGAGACAGATTATTTAGATCCATTTCAATCTGGTTTCAGGCCTAGTTATAGGGCAGAAGGTCTTTGGATTCCTTGGTGAATGAACAATAACAGGAGCTGGGAAGGTGGAGTGTTCCGGTTGGTTTTGCTAGAGCTCTCAGCAACTTTTGATACGATTGACCAAAGTATCTTTCTGGGCCACCTTGCTGGGATAGGATTTGGCAGCACTGTTTTACAGTGGCTTCAGTTCATCTTGGAGAGACAAGCCCAAAAGGTGACACTGGGGGACTCCTGTTCAATGCCATGGCTGCTGGTCTATGATATCCCTCAGGGTTCTGTCCTCTCCCTGGGAGAGGTTGTCTGGAGTTTGGGGGTTCAGTGCTACCAAGATGTGGATGACACCCAACTCTATCTCTCCTTTCCATCTAAATCTGAGGAAGGTGTTTCAGTGATAAACAAGTGTCTGGTGTTAATAATGGGCTACGTAGGGCTACTTCTGAAAAGTGTTCAGAAACTTCAGCAGGTCCAAGATTCTGTGGCCAGACTGCTAACCAGAGCCAGGTACAGAGAGAACAGAAACTCCTTGTTACAACAGCTCCACTGGCTACCAGACCATTTCTGGACATAATTCAATGTCCTGGTTATGACCTATAAAGCCATATACAGTTTGGGCCCAGGCTATCTGAAGGACCATATCTCCCTACATGAATCTGCCCAGGGGAGGCCAAAAAGGACACAGATCTCAGGGCAGCTGCCTATTTATTAATAGGCATGTGTGTTCAATGTCATTTGATGAGCAAAATGTGAGGAGACTTCAGAGTGACTGGGAGATTTATTAAGCCCTTTTCTGTTGTTAATGTCTCCAACTTGAGCATATCCCTTGTGTTCCAAGTCTTTCTGACAAGTGAGCCACAGTCCTCTCAGTCACATCAGTGAGGCAGCAGGTATCCTATTAACTCTCTAGTTTTTAAAGCAAACTTAGCTGTGGACAAATAGAACAGGGAAAAAACAAAGAATCACAATCACAGTACTTTGGCTCTCCCTATTTCCAACTGAAATTTTGTGACTGGTACCAAGCAGGTGTGGCATAGAGATGGGAAGAGACATTTGATTTCCACATCTGTCATAGTCCTAGTACCTAAATGGCAACTCTCAACAAGAGTGACGGGAAGCAACAAGGAAATTAAGGCTGCAGAACTATACCCACTTGTAATTAATGGAACTTACTTCTGAGTAGAGACAGGATCACACTGCTTAATCAAGACAAAATAAATTAGCTCAGTTTGGGGCAACTGTTATAAAGGACTTCTTCGCATAGCATATTGTATGGTGTTGGCCACTGGTTTACACACCCTGTTAAAGGTAATTAGACAAAGCAGGGTTTGAGACCAAAAACCATTACTGTTGTTAGCCTTCACAAACTTAGCTTATTCAGAGGCACACTGCCTCTGAACCTGGAAGTTGCATGTAGCAATCAGCTGACAGATAATTTTCCTTCTGCAGGTTCAGAAGCAGACCAAAATATGCTGATGGAGAAAAACAACGGAAAAGCATTATTGGCCTTAAAACCTGCTTGTGAGCTTCATTATGTAACTGGTTACCATTGTGGGTAGCAGGATGCTACCCACAATTTTTGTTAACCTGTGAACAAAACACAGTGCTTCATAAACCTTAGCAAACACCACTGTTCTGGAGCATGAATCTTTTTATTCTGCATACTATACAACTGATGGAAAAATGATCAGTCTAAAAAAGTTTACAGAGTTGCTTACAAAGTTAAGTAATGAGATTAGACAAGTGAAAATCATGTCAATAAATCTTTATCAAGGAGATGGGAAAAGACAGTAAGCACTGTTATAGTTTTATTTGTAGGCAGTGAGAAAGAGTGGAAGGAAGGGCCAGTGGCTGGAAATAAGTGGGGAAATAAGTGAGATGGTGGAGACAGGTGGAAAGAATGAAACGGTAGAAAAATGAGTAGTGAAAATAGATCATCATTATTCAGACCTGCTTAAATTTATATACAGTGGTGCCTCGCAAGACGAAATTAATCCATTCCATGAGTCTCTTCGTCTTGCGGTTTTTTCGTCTTGCGAAGCACGGCTATTAGCGGCTTAGCAGCTATTAACGGCTTAGCGGCTATTAGCGGCTTAGCAGCTATTAACGGCTTAGCGGCTTAGCGGCTATTAACGGCTTAGCGGCTTTAAGAAAAAGGAAACAAACTCACAAGAACTCGCAAGACGTTTCGTCTTGCGAAGCAAGCCCATAGGGAAATTCGTCTTGCGGAACGACTCAAAAAAACGCAAAACCCTTTCGTCTAGCGAGTTTTTTGTCTTGCGAGGCATTCACCTTGCGGGGCACCACTGTACCATCCTTTATTCGAAAATCACGGGGTGGTTTACAACATAAAAACAAAACATATCAAAAGGAGTAGCCGGAGAAAACAAGAAGTGAATGGAGCTAAGAGAGGCTGAGGAAGAGCAAAGGGATGGGGCTGGGAAGGAACCAGAGGATGGATGAAGGAAAAGTGCAAGTATAAACAAGAAGAAGAAGATCTGCAGAAGGGACATGGAAGAGACTTAAGGGCCTCGGACATAAGACTTCCAGGTTGATGGACTAGATAGAATGGACAGTAAGGACTGACACGACCCGAGACCAGGAAGAAGAGACGTTGGATGAAGATTGGAAGAAAATTTATAAAGAAAAATTTTTATTTAGGGAATTAGCCTAAAATTAATGAATATTAGGGAAAATGTTGGAATGAAACTATATGACTCTAGCAGAAATGATATCAGGGGTTATGTATAACTAAGTATTAAGTTTTAAGCTTTAAGGTATTTTATGGTAAGATAAGGTTAAATAAATTAAGGTAATTTGAATAACAGAATATGGGGAAAGATGGAAAGGATCTGTTGAGTTAATTAATAGGTTAAATTGTTAAGATATATTATCTAATAAAAATTGAGAAAGATGTAAAGAATTTGCTGAAATAACTAACTAAACTAGAATACAAAAAGGGAGGTGTGAGGAGGTCAACGAAACAAGCAAATGGAAGTTAAAGATATGTAATATGGGATTTGTGTCTTTTTTCATTTTTTTATTTTCTTTTTTGCTGTATTGTTGTATTGGTTTTTATGTTTTGTGTTTTTTCTTCTTTTTATGTATTGTAGTGTTGTTTTTTATTTTTTTCTGCAATTCTGAAATTATTAATAAATATTATTTTAAAAAAAAAGAAGGTGAAGAGGGGAAGAATAGAGAGGAAGGCAGCGCAAGGATGTGCTCTGGCAGCCTCATAAATAGTTCCCCTCCAACCTGGCTCCCCGCTGCCGCAGGGCCTGTGCTGGTAACAGTAATATAATATAGCCTTAATGAATACAAGTAAAACAATAATGTGTTGATAGGGATAAGCTGCCTTCTCTACTTTTTTTGGTGTTCCCCACCGGAACATTTAGGCCTCCTACGGGCCTGCCATAACACACACAACCGGAATTTCACACAGCAGAGTAGTAGGGCACATATCTGAGAAGGCGAAGCGTCTCTCCTTCGTTAATAATAATAATAATAATAATAATAATAATATCTGTGACTCTTTGGCTGGCATTGCCGGAACAAGGGCCTCCGCGGCACACGGCAGGGGAGCCCTTCCTGGAGCGAGAGGACCGTGCATGCCCAAACTCACCCAACTGCCATTCCCCGAGTGGCAAGCGATGCCGGGCCTCGTCGAGCGAAACGCCTCACGAAGCAGCAACTAGAAGCGGGGAAGCAACCAGTGGCCGCATCCGGCTCCGTGGATCTGTGCACCAGGCCGCCAGATAATTCTCGAGGGCGGGAGTGAGAGAGGGCGAGAACTTGCCGCGTCGGGTATAAAGCAGGAAGAACGGCCGACTAACCTCATAGCGCTTCGTTGTAAGCAACGTTCCGGATGCTGTGCCTGTTTCCTACCCGGCCCCACATGTCGACGCACACGGAGGAAAGCGAGCCCGGCTGAGGAGAGACGCCGTCGTCATGGCGACCGAAGGCCGCTCGGAGCAGATGGAGAAGCCGCGGCGCTTTGTGAGTGAGCGTTTGTCTTCACGTTACTTAATTCTTCGTTTGGGTAGAATCGAGAGCCTCTCTCCTCCTACTCCCCTGCAGGGGACTGGGCTTAGCTTTATCTCTTCCAGAGAACATTTAAGGGAAGCTTCGCTTAGCCTTTTCTTGCTTCTTCGAGCAACGGGTCTAAGCGGGTGTTTAGCCCGCTCTAAATAGTGCCTGTTTTCAGCACGCTTATCTCCAATCCGGAGACGCTGGAGGAGAAATTTGTATGGAGTCGCATTCCATATAAATTGCTGGGGGCGGGTGGGGAGGAGGCAATTCCTAAGCCCTAAGATAAGGAACATATGGAAACTAGGGGGGGGGGGGGGAGGAGATAGGAATGCCCCTGTTTTTTCCTGAGCTACCTCACTTTAAAATAGCAAGAGTTTTGGGTTTAGAAAAGTAGAGCAAAACTTTTTGTTGTTGTTTTTGTCATAAGTTAGTTCTATTTAAGGACGTAGACCGGGGCCTTCTTTGGTTGCTATTCAGCCAAGTTTTATTCAGAATAGACCCACTGCAATGAACGGTCACGTTTGTTGATTTCAGTGGGTTTACTCTGAACCTTGAACGCCACCCTTTATGATCAAGCAACACACAATGAATCAGACTTATGTGTAAATAAAGGCTCAGAGTGCAAATGCGTAAATGCCAATTTCCCTCCCTCCGCATCAATTTGATACTGTCACATCTGCTAATACAACTTGTCATTTGTCGCTAGCATTCTGATTGGGCAAATGATGAACTGAGCTTGGAAGAGTGTAGCCCCAATGAGACCCTAGTGAAGGTGGAAATGGAAGACGTTTATCCTTGATACAGTTCTACGTATATTATGAGCCATTTAGTTTGTTAATGAAAGCAGCTAGGCAGGATTGATGTGGGCAGCAATCCTGTTTAGTGCTGAGTATGGGAATGCTGCCTGCAGGATTGCTCTCCCTTCGTATTGGCTGATGTGAAGGTGAAGTTGTCCTGCTTTGTGCTGGGTCCTTAATTTGCACAGTTCTTCAAAGTGTCCTGACAACCAGCTGGGTGTTGGACACTTTGGGAGCTGCACAAATGAGCTTTGGGCAAGCCCTGCCCTTTTAGGCAAGCCCTGCCCTTACCTGTATGACATCAGGTGTAGAGTGGGTGGTCATGGCTTGCTCAAAATGACCTCACAGGCCAAATGAAGAAGTCTGGAGGGCCAAGATTTGCCCAAGGGCCGAATGTTCCTCACCCCTGATCTAGAGATACAAACATTCACTTCAGGAACAGAGGGTCCCTTGCGTTGCCTCAGGGAACAGTACAACCCCATAAAAGGTTGAAGGCAGACTTAATTTACAAACAGTAAATTGATTTTTAACATAATTTAAAGTAAACACCGTAAACACAGGGAATACTGTCCCTGTGTGAAATGTGATTATCTTTTTTAAAAGGTGATGAAGCAGAAACAGCCACTGAAGTACTGGTGTCAGTTCAAAATGTTGTTAATGTTGAATTTGAACTGGGAAATTGGTTGGCCAGGTAATGCAAAATGATATTCATTAGTATGAAATCCCCTTTAAAGATGAGATTTCTGTGACATTTGTCTTCCCTGCAAATGATGATAAACATTGGGGTGAAAAGAAACAAATCATTAGGGTGTTGCCACAGCCAAGTGTATATTCCTGTGGGCATTACAACTTCCCACATGGACTTGATGCCGACCTGCAGCTTGTGAATGCATAGTCAAGTGTCATATACACAGCGTCTTGCTTCTGAGACATTTATTTGTGGGTGTCTGTCAGTGAATTGTCACATGTTATGTTGGTCACAAATCATTTTCCATAAAACCTTTTTTCTACTGTTTCCAATAATCTCTACCATATGCTTGACACACAGAACTGCTTCCTAGTTCTGCTGGATCTCTTAGCGGCCTTTGGTACCATCAACCATGACAACTTTCTGGACCGTCTAGAGGAACTGGGGGCACTGTTATATAGCGGTTCTGCTCCTTCCTCCTGGGCCACGTCCAGAAAGTGGTGTTGGGTGATGAGTGTTCAGACCCCTGGGCTCTCACTTGTGGGGTGCCTCAGGGTACCGTCCTCTCCCCCATGCTTTTTAACATTCATATGAAGCCACTGAGAGAGATCATCAGTGGGTTTGGGCTGGGTGTTTATCAGTATGCAGATGATACCCAGCTCTACCTCTCTTTTAAATCAGAACCATTGAAGGCAGCAAGTGTCTTGTGTGAGTGACTGGAGGTAGTTGGAGGATGGAAGGCAGCTAATGGAGTGAGGCTGAATCCTAACAAGACAGAAGTACCGTTTTGGGGTTTCAGGAGGCGGGCAGGTGTGGAGGCGGGCAGGTGTGGAGGACTCCCTGGTCCTGAATGGGATAACTGTGACCCTGAAGGATCAGGTGCGCAGCCTGGGAGTCATTTTGGACTCACAGCTGTCCATGGAGGTGCAGGTTAATTCTGTGTCCAGGGCAGCTATCTACCAGCTCCATCTGGTTCGCAGGCTAAAACCCTACCTTCCCGCAGACTGTCTCGCCAGAGAGGTGTATCCTCTAGTTATCTCTCGCTTGGACTACTGCAATGCGCTCTATGTGGGGCTACCTTTGAAGGTGTCCTGGAAACTACAACTAATCCAGAATGCGGCAGCTAGACTGGTGACTGGGAGTGGCCGCCAAGCCGTATAACACTGGTCCTGAAAGACCTACATTGACTCCCAGTACGTTTCCAAGCACAATCAAAGTATCGGTGCTGACCTTTAAAGCCCTAAACGGCCTCGGCCCAGTATACCTAAAGGAACGTCTCCACTCCCATTGTTTAACCTGGACACTGAGGTCCAGCTCTGGGGGCCTTCTGGTGGTTCCCTCTGTGAGAAGTGAGGTTACAGGGAACCAGGCAGAGGGCCTTCTTGGTAGTAGCACCCACCCTGTGGAACTCCCTCCCATCAGATGTCAAAGAAATAAACAACTATCTGACTTTTAGAAGACATCCAAAGGCAACCCTGTATTGGGAAATTTTAAATGTCTAATGTTTTACCATTTTTTATGTGCTGTAAGCTGCCCAGAGTGGTTGGGGAAACCCAGCCAGATGGGCGGGGCATAAATAATAACATTATTATTATTATTATTATTATTATTATTACTTGCTCATGAAACATTAGCTTTATATGTAAATTGCTGCAGATGGATATTTTTCTGATTCATACTTTTAGAGAGAAGAGTCAATCACCCATCTCCTACGACCCTTCTGAGAAAAACCCCACTCCACCCTCCCACTATATATAAGGGTCTGGTGACTTCTGCTTCAGTGTATCTGAAAAAGTGTGCATGCACACAAAAGCTTATACCCAGAACCAACTTAGTTGGTCTCTAAGTTGCTACTGGACAATTTTAAATTTTTTTTAAGTAAAGTTATCCAAGTTTCAGATAAATTATTGGGATTCCAAAACTATTATGTTGATCTCATCTTTTAAAATACAATAAAAAGAAAGCTTTTAAAACACTTCATTATTTTTGTAATATCAAGCCACCAACAGACAAATTGTTTAATGTTACTTGGATTTCTCCATTGATTTTTATGGCAGTTAAGCACTTCTGTCCCTGGGGATATTTCAAAATAACTTCTCAATGTGTACCAAGAAATGGCCTTTACAGACAATGAAATGGTTCTCGCTTTCCTGTTTATATCTGTGTCTCTGCCTCCTCCTACATTTCCAACCAAACCATTCAGTTTTTTTCTGTCCATCCAGTTTTCAGAATTCTCCCCTGCTTCTCAACAATCAGTATTCTGAGGGCACTATACATGTTAAGTCCTCACTGGGCTGGGTTTTTATTTATTTATTTTGGGGGTGGGGTGTTCCACCTTAGGGGTTGTTCTAAAGGTGTGTGTGTGTGTGTGTGTGTGTGTGTGTGTACACACACACAGGGTCAACCTCAGTGTTACCCTGAATTGGCTGACAACTCCCTCTTGTATGTGGTGGTTTGGCTAAAGTGATGACAACTCAATTATTTGATTATTGTAAGCCTTCTAAACAGTAACCATGTCACTTCCATTTCATCCCTTTACACAGGGATGATGCTAAATACAGTAAATAGTGAAAGTATTAATAGCAGTAATAATAGTACCAGATTTGCCTGCCCTGATAATAAATTATGTGGAGGTTCCCTAGTAAATTTATTTGATAAATAGGAATCCCCTGACCGAAGGGCAAGGAAGTATTGAGACAGGAAGACTCAAGTCTATGTTGCCCAAATGCACAGAGAGCAGCTTTCTATAGAAGTAACGGGATGCATCTGTGCACATGGATCTCAGGTCAGTAGATGCCATGTGGAAGTAAGGCACATTGAAAATAATGTGAATTATTTACATGTTAAGTGCGAAACTATCATAATAAAATCAAGCTGCATGAGCGATACATGTTTCCTAAGTCCACAAAAATGTATACAGTGTCTAGGGAATTATTTAGGCAGATACTGTATTGTTTAAAATACATTGCAGGACACATTCAGTGCAGTCTTTTGTAGCTCATTAGCAATTTCTTTAATGAGTTTCTTTTTTAGTGATAGATAGTTAAAGTAACAGACAAGTGACAGATTGTTTGTCTTTAATGATTTCCCTATTTCAGGCCCATTACAAAGCAATTAGAAATCTGACAGCATTTTCACTCTGCATTACTGATTATCTAAAGTGATGAGAAACTAGAGGTGATGAATATTAATTGTATATTTTCATATGATTATCATAAATTATTACCTTGTCTAATGTGCTGCAGGTGAATTAAGAGCAAAAAGAGGAAATTCAGTCAGTTATGATAATTCAAAAGATAGTATGGTTTGGTTTATGCCGTTGTCAACAGTGCCAATTTATCTATATATTTTCCATTAAAACATCTACTTCTTAACCTGAATTCAAGATGCAACATTAATCAGATGTTAAGTCAGTCTAGCAGTAGGCTAT